AAAAGAAGAGATTATATTTTGTAATTATAGTATTAGTATGGTGAGTTGAGATGAAATTGGGTTTTTCGTCGCGTCCAAGATTATGGCACTTATATAGCGACTTGCATGCAAGTGTGTGTGTGGCTGCTTGTACTAGTCCGGACTTATGCCGATTTATATTGCTAGCTCACTGAGATACCATGCCGCAGTTTAACATGAATACTCTACTCAGACACAGTATACTGACTCCGAGCCGACCAGTCCTTGTTTTAGCTCCTTAATGCCGAGCGCCAGACCGGGTAGTATTAACAAGTACCATATTTTAACGTCTTTTGGTATGACGCGGCCGGGGATCGAACCCCGGGCCTTCCGCTGTCCGGGCGAACGCTCTACCACTAGACCACGGAGGAGGTGTATAGTATTAGTACTTGTAGTAGAAATAGTAGTGGTAATAGTAATAGAAGAAGTAGAGCCAGTAGATACCAGCAGTGGTGGTAGCAGTAGCAGTATTAGTAGTAGTAGTAGTAGTAGTAGTAGTGATAATGGTTATAGTAGTAGTAACAGCTGCTGCAGCAGCAGCAGTAGTAGTGTAGTAGTGTTGAAAGCGAAAGGACGATTCGGTCCCAGTGTGAAAACTAGCTCCTCACTTAAAATCCAACTGGCAGATTTGTCATAAACATCAATGTGACAGTCAAAGATGATTTTATGGTTGGTTGGTGTTCATTAAATAGGTCAAATTAAATCAGAACATGAAATAATGATTTCGAACAAGTGACAGATTTATGTTATTAGCTAACCAACATACTTAATATAATATGATTTAAAACAGCAAATGCTTATTAATTAATAATGAAACTGATAAACAAATTTAAAATTAACATATGAAACTCCCTGCAATTTATATGCATTAGTGATACAATTTCCCGATTCAGACATAAAGTGTGACAGTGCCCGTTGAAGTGCTTCTTAAAATATAAGCATACCGAAAGAGAATGCGTTCTCTTTCTCATGCACTTCGCTACTCAAATCTAGCCTGGCCTTGTCGTGGCCTGGGTATTCAATTAAAAATGTTTCATTTTCTCGGGAGTATTTTCATTGCAAGTTATTGTATTGCTCTGGTAAGAGTTACTTCCCCTGTACCGCAATAACGTTTGTATTTCATCTGGTTTATGTTTTTTTGTTTAATAATCTATATAACGGTGATATGTGCGCAATCGAGTCTGGACCAGACAATCCAGTGATTGATATCATGAACATCGATCCATGCAAATGGGATACGATGACATGCATCAACCAAGTCAGCGAGCCTGACCACCCGATCACGTTAGTCGCCTCTTACAACAAGTTTTGTCGTCTTTTACGGCAAGTATGGGTTGACGATGGGGTACTTGTTGTTACCCTGTCTAAAACAAGAGCTGGTCGGTGTCTGAGTGGGGTATTCGTGTTAAACTGCGGCATGGTATCTCAGTGCGCTATCACTATAAACTGGCATCAGTCCGGACAACTACAAGCAGCAACACGAACATACACGTGTGTGTAAGTGCAATAATCTTGGACGCCACGTCAAACCCAATTTCACCTCACCTCACCTTACAGTGAACACTGAACAGGTGAGCGTATCTTGACCCACCATATAAACATATAATTAGGTGCAAATTACTGCAAATTTTACATCTTTTGCTAGTTATGGCCAGCGGCAATGTCAGGTGATTTTATCTAGACTTAGGCTAGGTTGTAGTGATTTAAAATCACATTTATTTGACAGATTTCTGATTGATAATCCCATCTGTCCATGTGGCCTAAATAGAGAAGATGCTTTCCACTTTTTTCTATCTTGTCCACGCTATGACAAGTTTAGAATTGATAAATACTTTTTTGTTAACCAGCTCAGCATACATACTATACTCCACGGCAATGAAGATTCATCTTCCTCAGACAATGAATACATTAAAAAATCAGTTCACAATTACATCATTGAAACAAACCGCTTTACGTAAGTTTTGTGTAATAAAATAAAATTGTGTAAGAATATAAAATGCATTTGGTATCTTGCTTTCCATTTTATTTCATGTTGTGTTACTCATTAATGTCTGCTCTATAGACTTCATTACAATCTACATGTATAATGTACAATATTAGGAGAAGCATTAATATAGGCCTTTTTGGCCTGTTTGCTAATCCTTTTTCCATTTTGTAATGCTATTTAATGTAAAATCTGAACATTAATGGAAATAAAATACTGTTTAAATCATAAACATATAATATGAACTAAGCAATATAAAAGGCAAAAATTTGAAAAAACCTCAGGACACAATAACCCAAAGAGCAGATTCTAAATGTGTTTTGAATAATCTCACGCTGTTCTCTGTGCACCTACTTCAGTAAAGACGGTGTCTGTTTACCAACTGATATGTCACATTATATCTACCCGGACATATCAACAGTAAACACAGTTCCTGCCCACGTCGTTGTCTTATCTTTATGGCGTGCTGGTGATTCACATACAGGGGTGTCTTTCCTGGAGGTGGTCACCCACGTTCGCACCTACTCATGTCACAGAACATCTGATGGGTAACATACACATAACATACTGTTGTTGTTACTTATTTGGTTTTTGTTATTACTTCATTTGACGAGTGGTCAGGTGGCTGCTAACTAACGTTAATTGACCAATACGAATTGACGTTCTCAGATTCTTAGATTACTTGAGGTGAGGTGAAATGAGGTTAAACGTCGCGTCCAAGATTATTGCGCTTATATAGCGACTTGCATGCACGTGTGTGTGTGTGGCTGCTTGTACAAGTCCAGACTGATGCCGATTTATAGCGCTGGCCCACTGAGATACCATGCCACAGTTAACAAGAATATCCCACACAGACACAGTATACTGACTCCGAGCCGACCAGTCCTTGTTTTAGCCCCTTAATGCCGAGCGCCAGACAGGGTAACAACAAGAATAATCTTTTAACGTCTTTTTGTATGACGCGCCCGGGATCGAATCCCGGACCTTCCACTCTCCGGGTGGACACTCTACCACTAGACCACGGAGGCGGTCACATTTTACTTGAACACAGTTAGACTAAGTAGGAACTCCTATGAGATCAAATGAAATATAGATTCTCTAATCGAATGTTTTGTTTAGTTCATAATTTAAACACACGGCAGACATCAATACACAGAAGTACTTGAAATACTGGAAGCCAATCGTGAATCAAGGTTTGCATGCTGGGAGTTGGCTATAGATGACTCTGTTGAGGATGATCATGAGTTGACAGTTATAAGACTTAGTGAGTGGTTATAGCGCCCCTATTTTAGTTATATCACGGCTTGATGCAGGCGAAAGGGATGCATGCTATCTGCCAAAATGTCCGTCAAACCGCTTGCTAGGCAAACTGATGAAGACCGTCGAAAATGATGCCGGTAAGATAATTCGTTGTCAACCGGTCCCTCGGTGCACATAGGCTCGGACACAGGGTACATCAGACAATATCCGCATTCAGACCGGTTGGTATCTTTGTGGTCAGATTATGTCCCCAGAACTTAAATCTATTCGCAGCGAGGGCGTGTTGCTGTTCCAACTGTCAGACACTTGTTCTTCTGGTCATGTTTACAGCTGTCTAATGGCTGTTAGACTTTTCAGATAAATAAACGCTAAAACCTTTCCAATTTCATAAGGAATCATAAGGAGTCGATTGTACTATTCCGACTATTTCATGAGCTCGTGTTCATGAATCACTGACAAATAGTACTGATAATAAGTGTTTGCGAAAAGGTGAGCGTATCCTGCCCCACCAGTGGCACCAGTCACAAACACATGCAAAGGCAAGTCAATTGTTACCCTAAAAACAAAAACACGGGAACGTGCCCAAAATTTACAAAAGGGTCAAAATAGGGAATTGCATCGGACATCATTTTGGTCACTGATGCATCCTGGGAAATGAGTGTTTTTCACGTTTCTCCCAAATTCCGTTTTTACACAGCCAGTAATAGTTTTGTAAATTTGCGCGTTATCACCATGTCCTTGTGTCCTGTCTCCTCATACTTTCTGGCAAAAAAAGTCAAGCATACTGTTATATATTTATAACCTACAAAACAAAACAAAAATATGAAAACGGAAAAATCCCGCCCTACCCAGTTTAGATTAAGGTCATGAGTGACAAAAGATATTTTTTATCGGCATTCAACAACATTCACTCATACAGATGCGGATAAATATAGTGAAAAATGGATGCAATTGACGGAACAGAAAGACCAGGTAACGCCTACATATCATCATTCACTACCACATTATGATGGCTGTAGGTAGTCTAGTGGTTAAAGCGTTTGCTCGTCACGCTGAAGGCTCATGTTTGATTCCCCACATAGGTACTCTATAACACGCCTCGATATTGCTGTGATTTTAGGTTGAGACAGAAACAAATTCAGTCAGTGCTCTCTCAAAGGAGGAACCCTTGTCGTTATTTTTAGAGCATCCAGCATGTCAAGCAAATGATGTATTTTTGTGTGTGCATGTCAAAATATGGCCCCCCACAGACCTAAATAATAGGTAATCAAGGACTGTCATGTTTGTGAAAATTATCCACATGCAGCCGTGATATGTGGGTTTTTGCTTACCTCAGTGATAACAAAACACATACTCATATTTTAATGGTCAAATTTCTTTTTTTGACATGGATGCTATTGATGTTATTAATTTGGCAGAGATAATGCGACTTAGCCATGATATAAACATCTTAGAATATTAGATTCTGTGTTTGTTTGTTTGCCGCACGCAGCATTATTCCAGCTATATGACAGCGGTCTGTAAATAATCGAGTCTGGACCTGACAATCCAGTGATTGACATCATGAACATCGATCCATGCAATTGGGATACGATGACATGCATGCGAGCCTGATGACCATCCTATCCCGTTAGTCGCCTCTTACGAGAAGCATAGTCGCCTTTTACTGCAAGCATGGGTTGCTGAAGACCTATTCCTATAGACGGGTAATTTAAACGACAGAACACACATATATGTTGGTAGACGTTTATTACACAACTTACATCGACTTTCATTTCATATTTAAGCGTATGCTAGTATAAAAATGTTTGGTAAGATATTTGGCGCCTTTATACGGATAACTAAAATATAAAATTTATGACATATACTATTTCATTTTACGTGTACGTGTTATATTCACATTAATTACTCCAAAGTCGATAGGCAATCGAGTTTTATTCTGAAATGTGATGATTCTACATGCATTGGTAATAAAAATACACACACGTAGATGTTATCCGCAAACTGACATTTCCGCTCCCATTTATGGAGTTTGTCGACACACATAACGACATTACTGGAGACAAGACCTTTGAATTCTGCGCTAAGGCGCGATACATTTACAGTTGATGTTTAACAGGGGCGGTCGGGTAGCCTAGGGGTTAAAGCGTTCGCTCCTCACGCCGAAGATCCGGGTTCGATTCCCGACATAGGTAGAATGAGTGAAGCCCATTTTTGGTGTCCCCCGCCGTGATATTGCTGGAATATTGCTATAAAGCGGCGTAAAACCATACTCACTCACTGATGTTTAACACTTTATATCAGAGTATGGACACCGTACATAGACGTCTTTGATATGTTGAACTGGTGTACGCAACTTGGCTTCCAAAATGAAAAGTGTCGAATGCTAATGTTAAGTTTATGCTGATATTCATAGCTGCCGGAAGTGACTTGGGAATAACATCACTGTTCTCGTGCCTGTCTGGAACGTGATCTCGCGGGCCTCTCCTGCGAATGCTTTGTTTGACGAGATTTGTCCTTGTTGACCTTATCCTTGCTGGACTTCTCCTTGTCTGATGACAGTCCACGGCCTTTGCCCTTTCGCAGGCTCTGGGGTCGGCTCTCAGGTTCATCCTTGACCACAAGCCGGGCTACAGAGCAGAGAAAGCTTTATCGAAATATAACCTCCATTGTAGTAATAAATTGTCGCTGACAGCAGGCTTATTATTATGTTTATTCCGTCACAATTGTCACCCACAACCTAATGTAAACCCAAATGAAGTAAGTTACGTTATGGTGTCTCCATATTGCAGAAGGTGGTGAGATACGGCTAACTTATTGTTATATACCACATTTGTAGTATCATCATATATCACAGTACCAATATTGTGGAAGTTAAAATGCTGGTTTCATATAAAATGCAACACAAACGAGTATATTTGAAAAAAAGAATCTGAAACCAAATGAGTTTTTTAATAAAACATCATCGGGCTGTTTGAATTAATGAGAAAATAATGATGTGGAATAATATACTAATTCGGAAAAATACTTTCGCAAGTCAACATTATACATGCGTATAATGGTTATATATAATTTCAAGATGAAGCAAGCGTAGGGGACAGACCAGTTAACAGTTGTACAATTATGTTTATCTGAACGGGGAAGTCAAAGATGTGTTTGGACAGACCAACCAACACACGCAGGCACGCACGCTCACCAACACACGCACATGACCCCCCCCCCCCCCCCCCCCCCCCCCACACACACACACACACCATAAAGTAACCTTTTGTGTCTTGTCGCTTCAATTATATTTTGCCAGTATGTTCTGGAATATATAACTCTTATTTACCAAAAAATGCCAGTCAGCCGGGTTACGCAAATCCCTATCTCACATGCCCAGAAGGGTTTCAGTGAGTATCGAAACGGTTGGACGTAAACGTGATATTTATGTTAACTTATGTTACCATGGCTGCCAGCACCATGCCCCTGCTCGTGCTTTTCACCAAAGCGGTAAATGTCAAACACCTGCATCAGTTCGGGATTTTCTCCGACATCAAGCTGACACATTGTGATATTATTGCGTTAAACCCAACTCCCTCACCTAGGTTTTTTTTGTGGTTTTGTTTGTTGTTTAACGCCGCACTCATCATTATTCCAGCTATATGACGGTGGTCTGGAAATAATCAAGTGATTGACATAATGAGCATCGATCCCCGGAATTTGGATACGATGACATGCATCAACCAAGTCAGCGAGCCTGACCACCCGGTCCCGTTAGTCGCCTCTTACGACAAGCATAGTGGCCTTTTACGGCAGTCATGGGTTGCTGGAGACCTATTCTACCCCGGATCGTTACGGGTCCCTTACCTAGAAACTCCTCCGTGATGGCCTCTTCGTCCTTCAGTAGGGGTGTGTAGCGGGGGTAGGGGTGTTCCGTACCTGCATCACAAACACATACATGGGGAGACTTGTCAAGACAAAATACAAGAGCACATTTTATCTGATTGTAAGTGTCCTCAAAGCAGAACCAAGTAAAGATGAGCCCAAATGTTGTCTTCAAAGCAGATGGACCTCATGTTCGGAAAGATAACTTGGTGAGAATTGTTTCCGTGTACCTTATTCAAGACTGGACTGAGATTGGAACCAAATCATTGTCCATTTAATGTGGTTGAGGCTTACAAGGTGATTGTGTGTCCGCGTTCCCCGGAAGGATGAATCGTCCACTTCTGTGCCGGTTCGAGACCCGATTGCTTTTAGAATTAAAATTAATATGGCTTCCCTGTATAGGTTCGCTGTGTTCGCACCCTTCACCGTGATGTTGCTAGTCAGTGTGTTGTTAAAACCATTCATTCACTAACTGAATATTGTATAACAGTATATCTAACATGAGTACACAGGTATCCTAATAGTTTTGTTCCTGTTTTGCTTCATACAAGTATGCAACATTTGCACTGATTGTGTTTTTTGGTTTGTCAGAACCAAACCCTTGCGTGATTAACGTCAAAGACCTGCACCTCTTCGAGCTTTCCCCACACATCAAGGGACCCGTGAAGATCCGGGGTAGAATAGGTCTTCAGCCATAAAAGGCGACTATGCTTGTCGTAAGAGGCGACTAACGGGATCGGGTGGTCAGGCTCGCTGACTTATTTGATGCATGTTATCGTATCCCAATTGCATGGATCGATGCCTATGATGTCAATCACTGGATTGTCTGGTCCAGACACGATTATTTTTCAGACCGACGTCATATAGCTGAAATGTTGCTGATTGCAGCGTTAAAACACAAACAAATCACACATCAAGGTGACACTACAGGAACCCAGTCAACTCACCGTCCACTCGGAGCAACACGAGCGTCTCACGCTCCCCCAGCACTTCATTTGCGTATCTGTTGTGTGCGTCACGGAGGTACTTGATGTTCCCACACTCGTCCGACAGCTCGATGTCCTCCGCTACTGGATTATACATACATCAGCAATCAGATTTATCTTGGTAAAGGGCATGCCAGAACCTATGATTGTGGGTTCGACTCCCGGTTCGCCCCGATTATGTTTCTAGGTTTGTCAGCACCATACCCGTGCTCGTGGGTTTCACCGAAGTGGTAAACGTCTGAGACCTGCATCACTTCGGGCTATCCTCCCACATTAAGCTGACACGCTGCGATATAACTGGAATACTGTTAAAAGCGCCGTTAAAACCCAACTCGCTCACTCAGTATTTTGGTAAAACTGATGAATACAACTGTATTCCAGAAGATGGTCCTGATAGATGTTTGAACAACTATTTTTAGTGAATTCCTCATTATTATAGAAAACGGATCCAATCAAGGTGAACCTGTTATGCCCAGAGCTGAAACTAACCATATAAAATTGAGTATGTTATATTTTGACCTTCATGTCGTTTATCACAGATGTGTATGCCTTGTTGTCAAGACACATTTTCACGGCCTTTTTGTAGCTTAAAACGGGGACCAAGTACATATTTGACAAAATCTCTGCTCGTCGCACATATGACGGTGCCACCAGTGGGGAAGTAATCGCTCAGCTTTCCGCGAACACCACTTCATGCAAATGATGCTGTCGGAATTGTAAGAGATGGCTTTTAGCAGAGACTACTTATTATTATGGAAATGCTTCTGTCGCTTTTATTGGCATGAAAAGAAATGGTGATATTTGAAAAAGAATCCAGTTTAGAAATTCCTTAACACAATTGATGGGACCTCAATATGGTTGATCTTCACAGGGCATCCTTTTGACGTCAATACTGGTATCTATGTCTTTTTGGTTTCACCGACATGGGTACAATGAGTGAAGCCTTTTTCTGGTGACCCCGCTGAGATATTGCTGGAATATGGCTAAACGCGGCGTAAGACAATACTCACTCACTTTTTGTTTTCTGTGTTATTTCCTGTTCAATTACTTTTACATTTCATGAATTTTAAGATCTACGTACCAGGATCTCCACAGGTGCATTTGTCTCTGATGCTCCTCAGCAAAGTGCTGCTCCGACAGTTGGGGTTGAAGATGTGCTGTTGTCGATCTGAGAGTAAGAAGTCAACATTTTTATATAAGCACATAAACACTGGATTTTCGGCCACATGGGACTTATTCACAATTCGATCTTATCGTTACGACTGTCGAAAGTCTATGTTCAAAATATGTGAGTTACGGTAATCGGAGCGCTGAAATTGCTTTGGAGAAGTGGACCCTGGATGAAAAGCGGTACCTGTGAATTTTGTTTTGTTTTATGACGCTTTGAACAGTATTGGCGTTATATCACAGCTGATGCGGGGGGACAACTGTGAATGAAACAGGTCTTAAGCATGTACCACTTTGGTGTCCTGCACAGCCACGGGTCTGGTGCTGACAACCCTAGTATCATATAACGATGAAATCGAACCCAAGACTATAGGATCCTGGTAAGACTAAGGTACGCAACTATGCACTGCGTATGACGGCCGGTCATTGGCCCTCATAATACTAACCAGGACACGGATTAAACAGAAAACACATGCTTGAGATCGAGTAACTGACACAATTTGACACGTAAAGTGACTGGGAAGGGGTATTGGTGTTGTGTGTGTCTAGAGCAGCCAGTACATTTTGTCCACCCGGAATTCCCTTTGGTTTTTATCATTTTGAAATGATAAAACATCATTTTCAAACTGTTTGTATGGACCTGTGTATTGTGTATTGTATTCCAGGTAATTTGGTCTCTTACGATAGACACTTCAGTTGAACGAAGGCCTAGTCTCAAGTAAAATAAATCTCACGAATGCCTGTTTGAAAAGGAAAGGCCACACGCACACGAATCTGAAAACGAGTATCCTAGAAACGCCAAATCCGATGAAAATAGATAGGGGTTGAAACTGTTAATCAATTCAACAAATATGGTATACGTGTGGTGAAAGGATTAACTCTTCAGCTGTCTTGACCGAATTCACATAACAAGGAGTATAATATCTCACTGCACATGCATTGCGGACATTTACACAGCGTAGGTGCTAATGAAGACAAGTTGAAAACGTTTCGGTCACTTTTCTCCTTTCATAATACACTTGACTATAATTTCAAAGTCACGCACTCTGACATCAACAGAACCCTCTGTGCTCAGCCACTACCTCTTAGTAGACCTTTGCTCCTGTGAATCATGTAAAGGACAGGACGCTTAGGTAATGGTTCGTGAGTGAGTTGATTTTAACGCTGCTTTGAACAGTATTCCAGCTCTATCACGGCGTATCAGCATAATGTGGGATGATTATGTTTGTTTTGTTTGTTTGTTTGTTTGTTGTTTACTCGGCACTCAGTAATGTTCCAGCTATATGACCGCGGTCTGTAAATAATCGAATCTGGACCAGACAATCCAGTGATTGGGATTCGATGACATGCACCAACCACGTCAGCGAGCCTGTCCACCCGATCCCGTTAGTCTTCTTTTACTGCAAGCATAGTAACTTTTACGGATGACTATGAATAGGACAGGGCGAGTAATTCAAATGACGGAACACATGAAGTATACAGGGCGAGTAATTTAAGACAAGAGTATTTTAAATGACGGACACGTGCGGTAATGGACAGGGCAAGTATTTCAATTTACGGAATACAGGTAAAGGACACATGAGGGTAAAAGGATAGGGCGAGTAATTAAAAAACCCGGAAAACATGAAGTAAAGGACAGGGCGAGTAATATAAATGATAGAACACATAAGGTAAAAGGATAGGGCGAGTAATTCAAAAAACGGAAAACATGAAGTAAAGGAGAGGGCGAATAATTTAGATGACCGAACACTTGAGGTAATCATGTGAAGTGAGTGAGTATGGTTTTACGCCGCTTTTAGCAATATCCCAGCAATATCACAGCAATATCACGTCGGGGGACACCAGAAATGGGCTTCACACACTGTACCCATGTCGGGAATCGAACCCGGGTCTTCGGCGTGACGAGCGAACGCTTTAACCACTAGGCTACCCGACCGCCCCAATCATGTAAAGGATAAGGCGAAATGACGGAACACCTGACATGGCTCCTGAGGTAAATAACAGGGCGACTAAGGTAAAGGACAGGACGACAGAGTAAAGGACAGGGCGACTAAGGTACAGGACAGGGTGACTAAGGTGAAGGACAAGGACGACTAAGGTGAAGGACAAGGGCGACTAAGGTACAGGACAGGGTGACTAAGGTGAAGGACAAAGACGACTAAGGTGAAGGACAAGGGCGACTAAGGTGAAGGACAGGGCGACTAAGGTGAAGGACAGGGCGACCAGAGTAAAGGACAGGGCGACTAAGGTACAGGACAGGGTGACTAAGGTGAAGGACAGAGGCGACTAAGGTGAAGGACAGGGCGACTAAGGTGAAGGACAGGAGCGACTAAGGTGAAGGACAGGGCGACTAAGGTACAGGGCAGGGCGACTAAGGTGAAGGACAGGGGCGACTGAGGTAAAGGAAAGGGGCGACTAAGGTGAAGGACAGGGCGACCAGAGTAAAGGACAGGGTGACTAAGGTAAAGGACAGTGCGACCAGAGTACAGGACAGGGTGACTAAGGTGAAGGACAGGGGCGACTAAGGTGAAGGACAGGGTTACTAAGGTTCAGGACAGGGTGACTAAGGTGAAGGAAAGGGGCGACTAAGGTGAAGGACAGGGAGACTAAGGTGAAGGACAGGGCGACTAAGGTGAAGGACAGGGCGACTAAGGTGAAGGACAGGGGCGACTAAGGTGAAGGACAGGGGCGACTAAGGTGAAGGACAGGGCGACTAAGGTGAAGGACAGGGGCGACTAAGGTGAAGGACAGGGGCGACTAAGGTGAAGGACAGGGGCGACTAAGGTGAAGGACATGGCGACTAAGGTAAAGGACAGGGCGACCAGAGTAAAGGACAGGGCGACTAAGGTACAGGACAGGGTGACTAAGGTGAAGGACAGAGGCGACTTAGGTGAAGGACAGGGCGACTAAGGTGAAGGACAGGGGCGACAAAGGTGAAGGACAGGGCGACTAATGTGAAGGACAAGAAGAATGGGGTAAATAACAGGGCGACTAAGGTAAATAACAGGGCGACTAAGGTACAGGACAGGGTGACTAAGGTACAGGACAGGGTGACTAAGGTGAAGGACAGGGGCGACTAAGGTGAAGGACAGGGGCGACTAAGGTGAAGGACAGGGCGACTAAGGTGAAGGGCAGAGCGACTAAGGTGAAGGACATGGCGACCAGAGTAAAGGACAGGGCGACTAAGGTACAGGACAGGGCGACTAAGGTGAAGGACAGGGGCGACTAAGGTGAAGGACAGGGGCGACTAAGGTGAAGGACAGGGCGACCAAAGTAAAGGACAGGGCGACTAAGGTACAGGACAGGGTGACTAAGGTGAAGGACAGGGCGACTAAAGTAAATAACAGGGCGACTAAGGTGAAGGACATGGCGATTAAGGTGAAGGGCATGGCGATTGATGTAAAGGGCAGGATTAAGGTAAAGGACAGGGCGACTAAGGTAAGGGATATGGCGATTAAGGTAAAGGACAGGGCGATTGACGTAAAGGGCAGGGCGATTAAGGTAAAGGACAGGGTGACTAGGGTAAAGGACAGGGTGACTGACGTAAAGGATAGGGTGACTAAGGTGAAGGACAGGGTTACTAAGGTAACGGACAGGAAATCTGGAGTAGGTCTTCAAGGGAAACACGGCAGGGCGTGAAGGTGACGACAGAAGAGGACAGAGTGTCTGAGGAAAGGAAAAAGAAGATTGAAGAAAAAAGGAATGATTGATCTAGGCTGTTGTAATTTTCTGGGTAAAACATTTAATGTTTACATACAGTGTGGAGTAAATTCCCGTTAATAACGTATGATTTCTTACGGTACATTGTGAAATTGTTAAATTGGTCAGTTGAACACTTCGATCGGCTCTCCGCACTTCGTGGTTTTATTGACCATTTCAATTTCATCGGATCCTCGTGGTCTAATTATACCCACGCACAAAGGAATAGAACATAGAATCATTATTATATTATGTATCCAGAGCACGAGATAAACAAGGCATATAACGATATGCAGCTGGCGTTTAGATTGATACAAACTGGATATAGCCTTTGATAAACACAGCCGAGTTCGGTAAACAATCAACACAATACTTCTACAGAGCCAGTATTAATAGGAAATCAGTGCGAATAGGTACAGCATATTCACCAGGAAATTATTACCTGTGTCGTAAACAGCTGAATACTTTGAACATAATAGCCCGGCAGGGCTTTGTCAATTATATGTGTTTAAGGGAACGACTTGCTGTCGAGGCTCGCCCAATGGTAGCATTGTGTCCATGTCGGTCTTTCAGATCCGACAAGAGATCGACAGTAGGTGTTTTCAGCAAGGGTCAACAGTGTGTGTGGTGAGACATATGACAGTTTGAATAGTGGCACAGTTAACTTCATCCTGTCTCAAGACAGAGGTTAACCAAGGTTGTTCGCGCGCCTCACAATTGAATGTGTATTTATGTTATCAATGCAAGAAGAAAAACGTGTAACCAACTTGGCAAATACATTTTGTCTTGGTTGACGTAAGGCTTCTGTGATAATAGTACTGAGTTGTATCGTAATGGTTCTACACTCGCCCACGTACTTCCACTACCACCATCACCACTACTACTATAGAACTCGTCCGTGAAGATCCAGGTAGAATAGGTCTTCAGCAACCCATACTTCCCGTAAAGGCGACTTTGTTTGTCGTAAGACACGACTAACAGGATCGAGTGGTCAGGCTCGCTGACTTGGTTGATGCATGTCATCGTATCCCCATTGCGTGGATCGATGCTTATGATGTCAGTCACTCTATTGTCTGGTCCAGACACGATTATTTTCAGACCGCCGTCATATAGCTGGAATAATGCCGAGTGCGCGGCGTTAAACAACCATAAACAAACAAACTATTGAACTTTTCTTGTCGTAGGAGGCGACTCGATGTACGCAAGTGGAATACGGTGAGATGAATCAGTCAAGTCAGCATGGGAAGCTGGAGATCAAATCTGACTCAGGTCTTTTGGGTTGATGCAGTTGGTTGCTACATATGTTTCCACATACTCCCCTCTGATGTCCACACACAACGATGGTGTGGAAGGCGTCCTGCTGGTGGTGTAAACATGTCATCCACGGCAGACTTGACGTCACCGCCACCGAGCGCGAAATCGGCTACACCGGAAGCGCTCGTTAAATCTCCATCATCATCATCATCGTCACCGTCATTTGCATTATGCTTGCCAGACAGTTCTTTCTTCAAGTTTGGTAAGATGTTAAAATCTGACGGTGCCAAATCTGGTGAATGCGGATGTCATGTATCGCAGCCATGGCGACAACAGACTTGTGCATAGGTGCATTTTTCACTAGTAACAACACACCTTTAGAGACCGACCATTTGATATTGTGCTTCAGATTGTTCAGATACAAAATGAAATTGTCTGTTATGATAAATACATTTTTGCAAGATGTTTAATTTTTTTTATATATTTAGGCTCATTGTTCAGCTTAAAATAGAGCTTTTATAGCTGTAGCCGAAACTATCTAATCTTCATTCAAAGTCGCAGATCCCAAGAACAGATATTGCCTTCTTCTTCGGAGGAGATGTTTACACTGTTTGAGTGTTGTTTTGTCCTGGCTGATAGAGGTGAAACTAAGACTCATCCATGGTTACAAATCGCTCAACAATATCAGCTGGGTCTGTTTCAAAATGACGTAAGTTCTCACCAGAGAAGATGAACCTGGAGCGTTTCAGACCAGGAGTCAGAAACCTTGGAGCCAGGCGTACCCTGAAGATCCGGGGTAGAATAGGTCTTCAGCAACCGTCAACTTGGTTGATGCATCCCATCGATCCCAATTGCGTGGATCGATGCTCATGATGTCAATCACTGGATTGTCTTGTCAAGACTCGATTATTTACAGGCCGCCGTCATGTAGCTGGAATATTGCTGAGTGCAGCGTTAAACAACAAACAAACAAACAAACATCAGATGCTCTCCACTCTTTCATGACCGGAGCCTACTGTATGGGCCATGTGACGTGTAGTGAGTCGACCATCCTCAATCATATCACTTATTGTATTAATTATATTTAAAGGTCTCCCTGTTCTTGGTTTATCTTCGAGGTATTCTCCTCCCCTTTGAACTCCGCTGCCCACCCCCTGACGGTGGCAAAGGAAGGAACACCATCTCCAAAAGTTAACACCATGTCCGCATGGCTGGCTGTTGGAGTATTTAAGATACCTGATAACAGCGCGGTAGCCAAATAAGTCCATTTTCATCAACAGAGAATAATAGTCACTTGGATGCCTGCAGAAATATGCTGCCTGGTTGTGCATTTTGTTTAATTGCAGCCCGTAAGCAAGGAAAGCATCGTTCTTAATACTGCAAACTGGTAAGCCTGTACTATATCCTTCGTGTTAAGAACATTATAGCCACCCCGTATATTAAACTGTAAATGTATTATAATAATATACGCAGTTAAATACTTAGCGTGACATACATCAGAAAGCCTATTTTGCCTATTGAATGAAATGTCTTTAGTAACGCAATCGCCTTACAGTGATTACGGACGATTGGAGCCGCTTAAAGGTTTCACAAACAATTACACTAATGGCTTCAGTTAGTTAAGTAGAGTTTGTATATTCACATTGAAAAAGGTTTAGCGCCACTCCTGCATATTCACATAAACTGCCGGGCAAAAGAAAGTATACACTTGAAAATACACACTCTGCTTATTACGTTGAACTGTAAAACACACACACACACACACACCTCGTGTTTCTTGAGACGTCATGTGCACGTCCCTTGTTGTGAGATACTCATTGATATGATGAATGTAATATTGTCTATGATACCTGTATCTGATACTATACCATCGAAACACCATTTGTTGTTTGTTTAATTGTTGGCTACCATTTAACATGGGTGTAAACCTTTTTGGGAACTTTCATGTAAAGTTTGTAAACATTTACAGATGCGGTTGTTCTCACTGTAACACATGTGTCAGATGGCATCAAGACCTGACGATACAATGCCTACTATTTCAGATGACAAAAGTGTTGGTTATCATCTTGTGATGCAAAGAAGCCGAAGATACAATTAAAATCACAATTGGCCTGGCACAGTATTTTGTAACATATATCAGCGAACAACCAACGCTATTTTCAGTGAGTTAGCTGGGTTCAACGCCGCTTGCATCATTCTTCCAGTCCTAGTGTCAGCTTGATGTGGGATGAAAGCCCAATGAAGCAGATGTTAGACATTTACCATCTCAGTATGAAACAACACGCTATGGTGTTGACAAACCTAGGAATGTGATAAGGGATTATCTGGGATCTAAAAAGATGAAGATGATTAGGCTTAACAATTCAGAATCAAATATAACAAATCATGACAACCCTGGTCTTAAGTGTTTAGTATGTCATATTTATGTGGGGATTCTGAAAATTATTTAGGGTTACGAGGGTTAGGTTAGGAAAACTGATTTTTCTCTCTCAAGTAACCAATTCTTCGACATAAGGAAACGAATAACAGTTATTTTACTTATTTTACTTCAATTAATATTTAATGAAAAGGAATTTTGGTAGGTCAGAATAAATATATATGTAAATTATGTTGTTTATATCTGACAATTTCATAGCTGAACAGGGTACAGGGCTGTGTAGAGTTGCGTCCCTTGGGCCGATCAGACACCTATGATGGTGGGTTCGAATTCCGGTTCGCCACAATTCTGTTTCTTGGTTTGTCAGTACCATACCCATGCTCGTGGGTTTCACCAAATTGGAAACCGTCTGAGACCTGCATCGCTTCGGTCTTTCCTCCAACATTAAGCTGACACGCTGTGGTATAACTGGTATACTGTTCAAAGCGGCGTTAATCCCAACTCACGCACTCATAGCTGAACAATTATATGAAACGACGTCTAATTGAAAATATGATTTCAGAGATGAGGAATAATTTAATTTACAATATAATGTTCAATAAAAACTCATTGAGTACCGTGACATTGCATTTCAGTACATCGAGCTTACCGTAAACAATTCAGACATTTTCAAACATTCTGTCATGAAGTTGAGCTCTTTGTAGTCAAACTCAATGTAAACCAGTACACAGACTAAATTGCATCGATAGCTCTGGTTTTGTTAAGAACATGGACACTTCTCCCTCAACAAATACATTATGAAAGTACTTACCTCCGTAGCGCACAATGACATACATATTGCCAATTCACAAATGCTTGGGTAAAATTCACAGTAGGAGGTAAATATAATCCAGAATGAGTGTCGTATATCCTCTGTGAAGAACGAAAATGTTGTGCTAGAATCACTACTGCATTTGTCGTCTGCTGCAATTGTCGTCTGCTACCCACTTGGACCGTCACCAAGCTTGTTACGTGCACCGAGGTCCGTGTTAGTATCTCCGCACATACCCGTTTACTGTTGTCATTCTGACACGCCGCTCGTAAACCGCTTTCAGTTGTCCTATATTAGCCCATTCACGCTCTCCAACTAAAGCGCTTTCAATTTAATCCTCGTTAATCGCTCAGTGCCAGTCGACCCTTCACTGTGAGGTCTACCCGGGTTGACGTGACGGGTAGCGTGGACGGTAAACCTGCCACTCAAGTCAGGTCTACAACTTATGCCGATCACATGTTCGGGCCAGGGCAAGACACCTGGTTCGTCTGGGTATGCTAATACACTTTATATATAACCTGCAATGGCTTGGATGTATCAATATACTGTTTATATCCCATGTTGTGAAAACTACCATGCGCTGTTTATTGCCTTTGTTGTGTGTATACTTAAGGTTGTCGTATGTACGCAGTTAAAACCTATTTCATCAGAATTTAATATAATTCTATTCAACTATTTAGAACCTTATATTTGCAAATATATGAAACCGTTAAAACGCTGTCGTATCAACGTTGGTGGTTTGTTGAAACTAAGAGATTTGATTTAAATAATTGTCGGGAGGATATTCTCAGATAGAATAGGTCGTATACAATACTTATAGCAAGGTCGAATTAAGGGGATCGGGGTGGGGTGGTGTCGGGTAGGGTGGGGGATAAATACTATTAAAAAACCTTGAGAAACGACCAGCGACTAAAGAGATCGGGTATTCAGGGTAGCGTGTCCTCGTATCCCAATAGCGTGGACCGATGCTCATGATATCATTCACTGGATTGGCTGGTCCAGACTCGGTTATATAACTGGAATATTGCCGCGTTAAACAAAAAATAATGTTAAACCATCTACCTCTTTTCAACATTTGAGGGATGCTAGCACTACCCGCGACATATGCCCAAACGTAGACCCTCTGTTAAATTTGGTTATAAAATTTGCCGCTTCTAAATATGGCAATTGCAATTTGGAGACACCTGAAAGCGTGGAAGACTACCTTATTAAATGCTCTGGGTATAATAACATCAGACAAAATCTCAGAAGAGCTGTCTTTGAAGTTTTTGACGTAACTTGACGTGTGGCCTTGGATGGAAATCAGAATGTAAATGCACCCCAATTTAGGTTTAATGTGATTATAACTAATCAATGCGTGGGCGTTTCTTGGAGTTACCGAAACTGATGTTAAGCAATATTGGTAATGTACATGTAATCTTTAACTTGGGTTCATTGTGAACAAAAGTAAAATATGTATGCCCTTTGCACCTCAATGTTGTACTTGCACAATCACAAATTCTAGGGACAGCTCTAATGCTTCTTCGACTTTGACAGCGGCTGCTGTATGTAGGACAGGCCATAGATACTATACTCCTGATGGAATCATTGTAGTTTTGTAGTGATTAATAATGAGAAAACATATCCACAAATGTCTGTATGACTAGAGGGATGACCTCAAGTTTCCAATGGTCAACTTTCCTTGCGGTAAAAGGCGACTATGCTTGTCGTAAGAGGCGACTAACGGGATCGGGTGGTCAGGCTTGCTGACTTGGTTGATGCATGTCATCGATCTCAATTGCGTGGATCGATGATGCTCATGACATGAATCACTGGAATGTCTGGTCCAAACTCGATTATTTACAGCCCGTCGTCATATAGCTGGAATATTGCTGAGGGCGGCGTTAAACACCAAACCAACCAACCAAATCATTTCTACAATGTTGCTTTAAGGATCTTAAGCAACTCCGCAAGCAAGTAACAGAAGCTGTTCTTTATGTCAGATAATTTTGTGATTACATTGTCATGTGCACTAAACAGGCTCCACCAATGGAAGTCGTGAACTCATTGCTGATAAGGAAGGAATTGTGCATGTGCAATCTGTTTATCAGATAACATTTAAAACGTTTCTTATTTTAACTTTCAGATTTGTTTGCATGAATATTTAAAAGTCGCCACAATGTCCGTTATTCTCGAACACCATATATTTAGCATCCAATGTTCATCGGTCCAAATGACTCCTTTATGTGGTTGTTTGTTTATGGTTTAACGCCGCACTCAGCAATATTCCAGCTGAATGACGGCACTAATAATCGAGTCTGAACCAAACAATTCAGTGATTGACATCATGAACATCGATCGTAGCACCTGAGATACGATGACATGCATCAACCAAGTCACCGACCCTGACCACCATCCCTTCTGTCGCCTCTTACGACAAGCAAAGTCGCCTCTTACGACAAGCAAAGTCGCCTCTTACGACAAGCAAAGGCGCCTCTTACGACAAGCAAAGGCGCCTCTTACGACAAGCAAAGTCGCCTCTTACGACAAGCAAAGTCGCCTCTCACGACAAGCAAAATCGCCCCTTACGACAAGCAAAGGCGCCTCTTACGACAAGCAAAGTCGCCTCTTACGACAAGCACAGTCGCCTCTTACGACAAGCAAAGTCGCCTCTTACGACAAGCAAAGTCGCCTCTTACGACAAGCATGGGTTGCCGAGGACGTGTTATAACCCGGATCTTCGTGAATGACTTTCTTAAATGTCGGTGAACCTGACAAAGCCAACCTTTGAGAATGAGGTTGACAACAGGACAGATCTGTTTTCTGGTTTTGTGCAGTTATACAGTAAATACGGTTATAACGAACACGCTTATAACGAACCGACCGATATAACGAACTTATTTTTTAGTCCCGGCCATTTGTTATATACATGCTGTATATATGCTTATAACGAACTACGGTTATAACGAAATAAAATAAGCGGTCCCTTTGAGTTGTTTATAACCGTAGTTTACTGTACTGTTACCATCTGCACACCGAACCCGTCCATTCTGCATGACAAGTGCGGGAAAGGTTGCCCTATCTCGTAAACATCGGGTTAGTCAGATTACAATGATTCGCGAGTGTTTTATTGAATGTATTCCCTCCATTCTCTTTGGACCCTGCTTCTGTACGACTACCGCTCAGGTTGGGGTTCTTTAACTTGGTTCTACATTATATTGTTGTACTTGACATACAGTTTAGAATGTATCCTTTAATGAGTGTTACCAATTTCAGCAGAATATCAATTAGCGTTTGAATTCCAAAGCTGACCCATATGCACTAAAATGAATTCATCAAGCAAATTCATATGTTTCAAAGGCAGCGTCTTTATTATTAATTATCATCAATATATATTATGTAACCTTTTTTACTATATACAATGGGGGACACGGGTGGCCCAGTCGTTTAAGGCGCCGTGATTCGCTGTACAGAGTTGCGTCCCTTGGGGACGCCAGAAACCTATGATTTTGGGTTCGAATCCTGCTTCGCCCCGATAATGTTTCTAGGTTTGTCAGCACTATACCCGTGCTCTTGGGTTTCACCGAAGTGGTGAACGTCTGAGACCTGCATCACTTCGGGCTTTCCTTCCACATTAAGCTGACACGCCGTGATATAACTGGAAATACTGTTAAAAGGGGCGTTAAACCCAACTCACGCACTCACTACTATAGACATGTAAACATATATGTAATGAAAGGTCAACGCCACAGAATAATCAGTATCTTTTTACAGATGGTACACTTTTACTGTTCCTCCCTTGTTCCTGGAGGTTCGTATCTAATAACGTCCTCCAAGTATCTGCAACGTGAGATGCCCTTCAACGTCAGCATCGACATCCTCAACACCACCAACAACGTCCATGTGCAAGTCGAACTGCAACGCATATGGAACAACTACACCAACTCTTTTAGAATTTCCGTAGTGATGGCTAATGGGGACTTTACTGAAGGTAAAATATCACACTGAGATAATTGTGATTGACTCTCGTGTGGTACTCTTAGTGTATTTTAAGCTCACCTGACTGAAAATGTGAGCTCGTATCATGACGTGTTTGTCCGCAAGCGTTGTCCGTTATCGGGCGTCTGTCGTCAGTACCCCCAGAGAAGCACTGCACTAATAAAGCTGAAACGTCATCCCCTTGTGCCAACAAATGATGAAACCTATCATTATAATTAAATCAATCAATGTCAATGTATTAGATCAGTGCTCTCTCTCTCTCTCTCTCTCTCTCTCTCTCTCTCTCTCTCTCTCTCTCTCTCTCTCTCTCTCTCTCTCTCTTCTTTGTAGGTGTTACCCCGGGGTACTGTTGACATCACTGATTGGCGGACAGAATCCTGTCCTATTCAATGTCCCCATCTCTGCCCTAATGGCCCCAACAGCTCACATCATCGCCTACTACGGCAAGGCATCAGGGTAGGTTGTTGCCAACAGTCTTAGTTTCAGTGTTGGTCAACGCTGATCCTAGTGTCATCTGTTAACCTCCTGACTGTCGACCAAAGTGTTCTTCTTCTCAAGTCCGGCAATGATATCACCACAGATAAGGTTAGAGCTCATTTCTTTTTGCACCTCACGCCTGTGCTCCATCCTTAATCTACTAGTATATCCCTTTATCAGAAACCAACTTATTTTTCTGTGCCATGACTGACTTCCTTTTCTATGTACAGCTACTTGAAGAACTGAAGACGACATAAATATCGATCAGAATAAAGCTGTTCATTACACGCACTATATATGATTATAAAGGTGTCTGTTTTGGAAAAATTCAAACAAATCAGTTTCTAAGGAAGACAATATATGGAGGAACACAATGTTTCGGAGTATATGCTTACTCCTTCATCAGGTGAATGAAAGACATGAGGCAGAGAGCATATAATACGTACATGTAAGGACAACAAGATTAATAAGATAACAAAATGTGGAAAATATCAAAGGGTACAAGCTAACAAAGGAAGCCAACAGATGATTGGCGCTGATAGATGATTAGCAATAGACAATGGAAGCCAACACTTAAGTTATCACAGCTAAGTAATTGGTAATGGACACTGGGCAAATGGGGGTGGGTAATTAGCACTGACTTACACTAGGTGTAAGAATGGACATAGCAAGGCGCAAATTGAAGCCAGCCAGGCAATTAGCCCAGACAAAGATCCAAGCAATAAGTCCCAAGCACAAGGCAGACAGGTTCCCTGGTCATGGTTCATGGCTGGCTGGTGTCTCCTGATTTCAATGGTTTCTTGTAGTTTCCTTTGTCGCAAGGACTTTGGTAGACAGGACTTCCGTGGCTTCCCACATGATGTTATGGTTTACGTTCTTCAGGATGTGTTCGGAAATAGCGGATTTCTGGTCGGGTTTACTAACAGAGGTCCAATGTTCTTTGAGTCTTGTGTTGAGGGGTCTAAGGGTTTCTCCAATGTACTGGTGGCCACAGTTGCAGGGTATCTGGTATATACATCCTCGGAGATTGGGACTCGCGCTGCTTGTGCCTCTGCCATTTGCTTGTAGATGGGTCTTGATAGACTAGCCGCTAGAGAAGGTGACATCTATGTTCGCAAGACCCTCAAGAACGCCGACACCAGGCCCAAACCAGCTCCATCGCCCATCAGAATCACCATACCCTACCAAGGCCCTGTCACTCATCTGATTTCCCGCTTCATCAAGAATAAATCAGTTACGTGGAGAACAGGTCGTCATTCAAGCCAGCATCTTCAACTACCTGCCCAGTGACGTGGGCGTGAGTGTCATTTTAAATCAGTAACTGTGAAGACATTTTCGACTTCAAACGACATGTGACTAAATTATTCACACCTGAGTGCACGTGCCTTACCGATCGGGGTAAGGATATTGGCACAACTATTTTCAGTACCTCACCCTGAGCATTATAATTTCTGCTTAGTTGACCGAATCATGCCAGTTGTTGTTTGTTTTCATTATTTGCGAATCGGTCCATAGCAACATGACGTCTTATCAACGCACTGTCGCAATGAATTAAATATAACGTCATCCATTGTTCCTGAAGACGTTCCAACAATAGTGTGACTGAGGGAGTGTCTTCATTTTCATCTTCAGTTTTCTCCGAAGTCAACTCGGAAATATGGATTATCTGCTTCTAAAGTTGAAAATTCATCAACAAGACTTAAATTAATTCACTTGGCACCGATAATCTGTTCTCCCACAATTACTTGAAATGTCAGTAGTTGTAAAAATATGTTCAGTAGGTTGTGGTATCGTTGCCAACATCATCGGACTATGTCAATGTGCACGTGGCTGTTAACAGTACCGATAAAACCACCAAGGAATCAAAGGACCAGACACAATATATCACAGTAGGTGTTGTGTATGCAACAGGCGTATTTCCTTTCAATCTATAACAAATGTAACCAGTAAGGTGTTAGACAGTTCTGTAAACGGGCTTTTGAATCAAATACCGGCCCAAATAAACGCTGAGTGGAGGCCATTCTTGGCATCAATATGTGTTGTAAGCACATTGTTTATTGATGAAAACAGCCCTGAACAGTATTCCAGTTATATCATGTCATGTCATATTAATGTGGGAGCAAAGACCGAAGTGATGCATGTCGCAGACGTTTCCCACTTTAGTGAAACCCACGAGCACGGAGTATGGTGCGGACAAAACTAAAAACATAATCAGGGTGAACCGGTATTCGAACCCACGATCAGAGAACTCTGGACAGCGAATTGTGGCGCATCAGACGACTGGATTAAGAGCTTATAACTCAAAGTCAATTAAGATAGGTTGTTAATGATATTACCAACGTTGTCACTGTATATTAAAGAGATCTTGCAAATGTTAAAAAACATGACCATTCATCTTTTCTCTTATCAATGGGATCAAAGTGGTAAATGACCTGCATCAATTCGGGCTTTCCTTACACATCACCCTGAACCATTGGGAGATAACTAAACGCGACGACAAATGAAAGTCTTTCACTGATCATTCTAATGGATGTCTTTTTCAAGTTTATCAACACATCCACAACACAGTAATCTAATTCACACTCCAAAGGATGCACACCTTGATTCAAAAGGGGTTGCCAGTATTTCAAGTACTTTTATCTATTGATGTCGTTATCAGTGTTTACATTATGAACACATTTCACAAAATATTCCATTAGAGATTCTACATTCCGTTGGTATAAACACACTTAAGTATGGACGTGAAGAAATCGTTATAATGTATAATCAGCTATCTTGATCTCTCATCAAAAGAATAAGTCGAACTGGATGTTTGCAGGCATTAAATAAAAAACCCTCATATAAATAAGTCGAATTTCATTATTTCAGCCATCTGGATGTCTCAAATGAGAATGTCGAATGTGATGTTTGCAGCTATAAAATGAATAATTCATCAAATCAATACGTCTAATTGAATGTTTGCAGCAATCTTGCTGACTCGTCAAATGAATAAGTCGAATGTGATGTTTGCAGCAATCTTGCTGACTCGTCAAATGAATAAGTCGAATGTGATGTTTGCAGCAATATTGCTGACTCGTCAAATGAATAAGTCGAATGTGATGTTTGCAGCAATATTGCTGACTCGCCAAATGGATAGGTCGAATGTGATGTTTGCAGCAATATTGCTGACTCGTCAAATGAATCAGTCGAATGTGGTGTGAACTTCATGTGTATTGGCCAAATCCACTTACAATCAGTCACAACAAAATTCTCAGCTTAGCTGTGTATGTTACACATCAGATGTCCTGTGACACTGGGTAGGTGTGAAGGTGGGTGGCCACCTCCAAGAAAGACATCCCTGTCTGTGAATCACCAGCACGCCATAAAGATAAGACACCCACAAGAACTGTAGATAAGTCCTTGGTATATATAGTGTGACATATCAGTTGGTAAGCAGACACACCGTCTCTGCTGAAGTGGGTGCACACAAACAAAAGGTAAGATAATAAGAAAACATAAAGAAGGAAAAGCTGTTCAATTGGCTACTTCTAATCACATGTTACAGAAAGTTTCAATGTTTACAGACACCAGACAAGTGCCATGTACATGTTGTACTTCACACCTGTGTGAGCACTTTGTGAGTCTGATAACATGGATTCCCATGTTGCTGGTTATCTAAACCTTTGTAAGTTGTCTGTGTTTATAAGCCATACCTGTAAGGGTCTATTAGCATAGTGTATGACATTGGACGTTAACTAACAGAGAAAATGTCACCTTTGGGATAATAATTAAATGTTTCTATTGATTGAAGAATGAACACTACGTTTTGAATAAGTTGCTGGTTATCGTTTACCATTACTATCCAAAAGTCTGTATTTTAATGTACCTGAACGTCTTCAAAAGGTGACCAAATAAGCCTGTCTTATCATATGAACACTGAAATTGGGGCATTGTGTAATAATTTACGAGAACTGATGGTGGATTAATACTAGCAAAAATACAACTTGTATCTCATAGTGTACTTACACGCCTCCTTGCATATTGGCCATGTTGACATTACATTATTGCTAGGTAGGTAGCTGTGATTTTACTTTCTGTTTTAGGATGCTGTGGTTACTTTTCTTTGTCGGCGTTGGAATCACCACTGCAGATGACAGGTAGTGGGGGCTATCATGTTGTCATTTTTGGTGTGGTTTAAATGTAAAAACACGTGTGTGCACAGTGTGTAAATCGGATTTAGGCAAAGTGTGCACACAAGCATTTGCTTTTACATCTCCATTACCGCAAACTAAATTTAAATCAATACTTAAATAACTTTATGTAAGCTTTATGACATATGATTAATACGTTACGTTCTTGTAGCTCTGGCGGTTCCTATCTCATAACGTCCTCCAAGTATCTGCAACGTGGGATGCCCTTCAACGTCAGCGTCGACATCCTCAACACCACCAACAACGTCCATGTACAAGTGGAACTGCAACGCATATGGAACAACTACACCAACTCTTTTAGGATCCCCGTAATGATGGCTAAAGGGGACTTTACTAAAGGTAAAAGATCATTCTGAGCTAATCATAATTGATTTTTTGTGTAGCACTCCAAGCGTACTTTCAGCTCACCTGAGATCATGTCATGACCTGCTTGTCCGCAAGCGTTGTCAGTCATCAGTCATCTATCACCCCTCTCCCCAGAAAGCCACTGCACTCATGAAGCTGAAGCTGCACACGCTTTTTCCAACCAATGATAAAACCGAAATTTGATCAAGAGGTTGTGATCCGATTTTCAACATGGACGCCATGGCAGCCATATTGAAAAACATGTTTGTTACCTTTGCTCAGCCATTTCTATTCAAAATGAAATGAAATTTGGTATGTAAATCCAGGGGCAAAAGAAAGTGTTTAGGAAATTGAAAATTGAAAGAACTGGTGTTATATTTGATTGTGTCAATATAACCATCACTCAATCCTGCAACAGTATGTAAAAAGTAATTCTGTGGTTGGCTACTTTTGTGCAAAAAGAAGTTGGTGACCGGTAACATATTTGCAATGTAAATTTGTGCCGAAAAATCAAATGTATTGGTTTTCAAAAATGTCATGTCAAAGATACCCATCAGCAGTTGTATATTATGTATATTAAGTTTTTGTTTTCAAATTATTTTAAACAAATAAAGGTATGTATTATTTGAGTGCTGACGTCAGTGCAGTTCATGTTTGGATATAATATCACTAATTTAAGATAATTTCAATTGAAAATGAAACATATGATAAAGCCAGAGATGAAGTTTATATAGTTTGTAGTTGGACTCAAGATCTGTTCCGTTTTACACTGTCTTAAAGTATCAATACCTTGATTTCACCTTTGCACTTTTACCATGCTTCTAAATATTCTAGACTGCAAATATTTCTCCTAAAACTAACTGACTGAGGGAGCTAAACATTAGCAATTGCTTCTTCTTATTATGATAGCTAGGTTTGTCGAAATCATTATGATGTCATTGTTAGTTTTTATCTTTAAAATTTAATAATTCACATGTTACAAACAGGTGTATTCTCAAGAAGCATTAGGTTTACAATGCTGAACTTCTTTGTGGAAGGCATAAAACGTCAGTATACACACAGACAAACAAAGTGAAAACATAATTTGTCCCCCCCCCCCGTGGAGAATCGGTGGAAATTGTGCTACTAATCAACATAAATATTTGTCTCCATAATAGGTGTTATAAAACACCATTCCCGACATGGGTACAATGTGTGAAGCCCATTTCTGGTGTCCCCCGCCGTGATATTGCTGGAATTTTGCTAAAAGCGGCGTACAACCATACTCACTCACTCACTCACTCACTCACTGTTATAAAACAATATGAAAATGATGCTGATTAAGAATCGTTGATACGTCGTAGTAACTTCATATTATCAATCAGTTGTTTAAACTGTTGACTTAATAAGAACAGGAACTGTAAATAAAAGATCTACAAATTTATTTCAGAATGGAAAATAAATATAAGGCCTTAACTATGACGATGTGTTGAAAAAATAGAATAATAATGTCTCAGCACTTTTACCACCATTGCATTTCAGGAACTACTGGAACGATATCCCTGAATGTAAGTATTTTTGAATCTTTCAGTGTTTATTAGGTAGATCAGTGGTCTCGGGCATAGATAAGTACCACTGCATTATTGTTCATGAAACACTACACTATTCTATCAGTCGAACCTGTTCTATATATAATTACTATGACTTCTGGGTATATTCTTGAAAATCAGTGGGGTTTCCACTCCAATGACACACATGATAAAAACAGAGACAGAGACAGACACACACACAGACACACACAATCACCCACACTTATATAATGCATTTCATAGTACATTTGGTACACATACTGGTAATAACAACTGTTTTTTAAAGTCACAACCCTCATGTCACTTTAAAAACACAAAGACAAATGGTAATAATCTTTAACATAAGCATAAGGGGGGCATATTATACCATCGACATTTTCTGTATAATCAGTGACAGCGATTGAAGCGAAATAATATGAATTTCTGAAGCTTCATATTCGCGTGCAGATAATTCTGTATATTTTGTCTTCAGGTGCCTAGGGACATCACTGATGGAAGTTATGTTCTCCATGTCCGGGGAAGCGGGGCTCTCCAGTTTGAACGAGAAATATCAATCACACTCCGTTCCAAGTATATTTCTGTTATGGTACAAACTGACAAGGCAATGTACAAGCCTGGACAGATGGGTGAGCTGAAAATAGATGTAACCTTTATGTGATGATGAAGTTATTTGTTTCTTTGTTTATTTCAAGTTACACTTAAATAATTTTACTCCAGCATGGAACTGAAGAAGCCTTCCTTTTTCTTTGACTTGATGTTTAATATACATTATCTCAGTTGTTTGTACTGGGCAGTCATGTATGTGGCAATCTACATTTCCAAAACATCAGTAAGAATGTTTTGGTACATGTAGTTAAATCAGTGATAAATTGCCTATGCTTCAGTGCATTTCCGAGCGTTTGGTGTGTACCCCAGTTTGCAAGTGTACACAGGGACTTTCGACATATCCCTTGTGGTAAGTTTGTCATTCAAAACCATAACTGACACGTCCTATATAAGCGTTCAATACAATTAAAAATCAATGTAACCATAAACTATAACACGTTATTGTTTTTGAACATTCGGGAATATCTTATTCAAAATATACCATTATGTAAGTGAATTGAAAGTGCTTATTGAGAAAGTCCCTTTTTTCATTTTCATATGAACATTTACAGTACCAGTTCTATGTAGAGCCTTGATATTCGCTGCAGGATCCTAACAATAACATCCTGAAGGAGTGGACGGCTCTCCATGACGCTTCTGGGGTTGTGGCTGGGGAGTTCCAGTTGGCAGATCAGACTGTTCTGGGAGACTGGGCTCTACGAGTCTCACCAGCGGTTGGTTAAGTCTTTCATATATAGATCAACATTATTTTGTTATTTAGATATTATTCCTATATGTCTTCTGATAAACAAAGTGTTCTAGAAATGCGACATCTATGTTGAACAATTTAATAACCCTGCTGTGATATGAACCCTTGCATAAATGATCTTGCTCCTTATAATTTGTGAATGGTTAATCCTTTCAAATTTGAAACGTTCTTAGAAAGTTCGTCCCTCCAACCGAAGAATATACTGTCCCCCTAATGTGGTAAAATTAAGTTTGTCCACAACATCCCCACCTTGGTTATTTTGCTGTACTGGAAAAATAGACTCACGTGTTGTGAGCAAATGCACAGCTTACAGAAACTCGAATCGCGTTACCAAACGCCTATCAACGCACCCTAAGTTTTTGACGTCTATGAAACACTCCCCTAGAAAAAAAACCTTTTTTGTCATACGTTTAATTCCAAAGTGGCCCCAAACTAGGATACCAGAATGTGGATGATATAAGAAAATCGTTTGGCACCTGTCGTTTGACTGACACCATCAACATATCCAGAACTGATTGTCTGAGGATTTGTAAATTAACTCCAATTGTCTCTCAAACACACTCTGAAAAAGCCTCTAAGTGTCACATATTAAATTCTAAAGGAATCCAAGGTTGTCCCTTACCTATTCCAGAGGGTGACTGATATGGAAATGTGTTGGCACACGGAAGAAGAAAATCTCTCATAACTGACACACCAACTTCTTCAGTATCGACAATGCAATACCGTGCTGAAAATTATGACAGTGTACATCTTCTTTGAGTTCCTTTTCATTTATTCTACATACCAGTTTATCTCTCGAAAATGACATATATATTTAAATTTGCTTTTTTTATTCAGGAGCAAGTAAGCGTAACCTCTAAAGCCTTTACAGTTGCCGAATACCGTAAGTATGAATGTAGTGTTCACTTCTAGCGTAACGTTTCGAAATAATGATTGATTGTGGGACAGTTCATAGTAGCAATACAAAGAACTTATGATCTACAGAGCTAAGCAAAGGTCAAATGATGTTTCCCTAAACTCCACTTCAGACAGAACTTGTATGTCAGATAAGATAAAGATATCTATGTGTGTGTATCAAAACTATTTTTTATGTTTAAGCGTGTAGTTTCAAAAAAAAAATCCTACAAGTTGCAGTGTGGTCATTGTGCATTCTATCACGCTGTAGTATACCGATCCATCGCTAGACAATTTGATTTACGCACTGGAAAAACATCCTACTGATCATGATTGACATCCTAACTGATACGACTGATGATAAAGTTTAATAAAACCATTTTCTTGTTTTAGAACTGCCACGTTTTGAAGTAAAAATTGATCTGCCTTCCTTCGCCCTCACATCCGATACAAAGTTATCTGGAACAGTGAAAGCAAAGTAAGTTTACTATTCAGATCGCCATTTGGATAACTCTTTTTCAAACTACAACACAGTATAGTTTTAGTAGTGCTCCATGTATGCTGAGTTATTCATTTGGGCAGTTTAATCTGATGCGACTGACATAAACATACCCACTCCATTTCTACATTGAAACACTATCATGTATGTATTTCTACACTAGGTACACCTTCGGCAAGCCAGTGAAGGGTATGGTGGAGTTACACACGCACATGAACGTCGCTAACGACTACTGTGGAAAACCTGCCAAATATGTTGAACTTGCATTTCCCGTAGGTAGACAAACTATAGGATTACCCAAATCCTCGTTGTAATAAATAAGTTTATATTGGGAATGTTTAAATGAACTCACTGCTTCGCTTCTGAAGTGAGTGATTCATTTTGCGATTTGTCTGTAATGAATAGTACGTATGGCATATCCAATTCAAAGTCAAAGTAAGTAAATGTAAAAGATAAATAATGAAAATATTCTACTTATTTTTAAACGAAATGCTCAAAATACCCGCACAACTGATTAATGTAGTATTAAGAGACAGCACATCTAAATTGTGCACAAAACTTTTCGGCAAAAAATAAAACGTTTTCTCGACAAGATACAAACATGTATGATATATTGTGTTTGTTCGATATGGACAGATTGACGGGGAAGCCAAATTTGACATTCCTATCGCTGACATCAAGCGTCTCCAGCGCAATCTGATTGAACAAACTGTCGTCGTTGTCGCCATCGTGAAGGAGGAGTTGACGGGCGTGAAATTGAACGGGTCGAGCTCCGTCAAGTACCACCAATACCCCCACAAGATTGAAGTCCTCAACTCAAGCCCCAAAACATTCTCACCCAAACTTCCTTATACGGCCTATGTGAGTTGATATATGATGACATGTCTACAAAACAAACGATTTTGACTTGTAAGCGTTTTGATAGTTCTACACGTAACTCGTGCTATATACAATTTACTGGATTTAACGCTACAGGTCAAGGTCTCCCAACAAGACGGCCGCCCTGTGACCGACCTCAGCAGCCCTGTGGGGGTGTACACCTGTGTCACATACCGTATTGTCCAAGATGATCAGTCCGAGTTCTCCTGCTCATCCTTCAATGGCAACTACGGCCTGCCTACCAAAAACTACACCATCCCTGCCTCTGGCATCATCCCTGTGGACATGCGTATCCCCGAGAACACCACCAGTATTGACGTCAAGGTTGGATTTGAAACGATTAATACTCTTAAATAATTACATTCTTCATAAAAGTAATAGTCCGAACTTCGAAACTTGTCAAATTGAGATAGATGTATAAGACGTGTAGACAATTGCATGTGTGTATATTATGTTTTAAAATATCACCATAACTAATTGCACATACAAGCGTGTCCACAGGTCTAAGTTCATAACAAGAAGGGAGGCAATGAAGAAATGTTATTTAATGTTCTTGAAGAAGACCCAAGTACAATAACATAGGCTTCAAAAGTTTAATTTAGTGGGTGTTGATAACCATTTTAACACCTACATGGTAAAACTAGATTGTTTTGTCGTGAGGAAGAATGGCCGGTAGCTGATCTGACCGTTCATTGTTTATTGAAGGACTTTTTTCATTGCCCTCAGATCCAAACCAGTTCACAACACTTTTCATTCCAGGTTCACTATATGGAGATATCCGACACTCTCAGAGTACAGCGGAAGGACTCCCTCAGTGACAACTTCATGCAACTCAAACTCACCAGCAAGGCACTCAGGGTAGGCAAGATTGCACTATTAGCATGCGTGGATTTGTCATGTAACATATATACAAGGATGATTATCACTGAGGCTTTGACGATTTCTTGAAGTTGTTGTTCTGTTTCCTCGAAAACATGTGATTCGTAAACATATGTACTGTTGCTAAATTTGTTTCAGGCGGGTCAGACGGCTACGTTTAGCATCGAGTTGACAGAGGATGTACCCTTCATAACGTACGAGGTAATCTGCTTGTACAGCACGATGCAACTTACAGAGCATGCACCATGTGCCATGTATACCAATGACATGAATTTATCCACAAACATTCACATAAACGTGAACAGTTATAATTGAGTGAGTGAGTGAGTGGGTTTAATGCCGCTTTAACAGTATTCCAGTTATATCACGGCGTGACAGCTTAATATGGGAGGAAAGCCCGAAGTGCAGCAGGTCTCAGCGTTTACCACTTCGGTGAAACCCACGGGTATGGTGCTGACAAACCTACAAACATGGGATTCGAACCCACAATCATAGGTTTCTGACTTGTCCAAGGGAAAGTTATAAGAAAATAATATATATCACATTAAGCTTGAACCACCTTTTACGCCCATTAGGGCAAAAAAACCCATGACACTCAAATGCAGATACAATTTTCTTTGTAGGTGTTATCCCGGGGTACTGTTGACATCACTGATCAAGTTACTGTTGGCGGACAGAATCCTGTCCACTTCAATGTCCCCATCTCTGCCATAATGGCCCCAACAGCTCACATCATCGCCTACTACGTCAAGGCATCAGGGGAGGTTGTTGCTGACAGTCTTAGTTTCAGTGTTGATGATGTCTTTGACAACAAGGTAAAATGTAGTTGATATATTAATTAGATTTTCAATATGAAGCCTGAGTTAGCACACATTTTCCACATCTTAACATCAATTGATACGCTATTTCAGGTGTCCATTGCCTTCAGCAGGAACGACTCTAAGCCACATGACAACATTGATGTGTTGGTCAGCGCTGATCCCATGTCATCTGTCAATCTCCTTGCTGTTGACCAAAGTGTTCTTCTTCTCAAGTCCGGCAATGACATCACCACAGATAAGGTCAGAGCATATTTCTTTTCGCACCTCACAGGACAACACTGTATGTCAGACAAAGTGAATCCAGCAATACTATCAGGTCAGCGGGTGAGAGGAAAGCGTCTCACATATCTGTCACGTTAAATATCACCGGGAGAGGTAAAATGAGTGGTCAGTGCCTTATTCATTAACATATTTGTCATATAAAAATCACATAAATGTTCATGGATGAATGCCTATCAGATTGAATGACTACCCTATACAAACCAGTAACACATTCAAATGCCATCATATACGACTAACACTGCTCATTAGATGCAATATGAACGTATGTATATTTTAAATTTAAATTTTAAATTAAGAATTCGTATAGCTCTTTTTCCATGATTGACCATGATTGATCTAGTCAAAGTCTCTCTTGAAGTTTTGCGTGTCTGTTAAAAGTCAGATTTTCTGCTTCTAGGATTTCTTGTGGCAGATTGATCCATAGCAACGGACAAACATGTTGAAATTATCTATCGCCATATATGTCTGTTTTGGAATAATTTAGAAAAAACAACTTCTGACCGATGTCAGCTCAATGTGCTGATAAACGTTGTAAACGTTGACATAACGGCTGTCCGATCATGAGACCTTCGGGACGCAACTTTTTTCATATGGGATGAAATTTACCAAGACCAGTGTGTTCCACTTGTATCCTTATGGATCAGCGCAAACATAGAAGGAGAAAGATGCATTAACTCTTCCTGTGGAAGACAGTTTTACTTTTAAGAAATTAATAATTTCTCACTTTTTAATTGGCCATGAAATGCTTCCTGTGTCACGTACAGGTTCTGGATGAACTGAAGACATACAGCTCTGGACAAACCGATGGAGAATTCTCACCGGAAGTATATGCCATTTCTAGTAGCGCTACACGCTCAGCTGACGTCTTCTCGGTAGGTGATCTTGTTTACTAACTGAAATTATTTCTCCATATGTATGCTTTAAATTGTCTCTCGCAACTTGTCTTATCACATTTATGTCCTTATATATGTAATGTTATCAATGCGTTGCATGTTTGTCAGTTTATTTGCTGACTTTATTCATGTTTAATCTGTGACGGAACCTGGAGTATCACCTTTTCAACACATTGTTTAATTATAAAATAAGCCTCTACTTCTTAAACCTGCATTAGAAAGCTTTTATGCAAATGATAAAATCTGTGTTATAATGACATTCTCAGTGAACCTTTAGAGATTTGATGGAATAATATTATTAAGAGGGGTCAGTCTGAATATATATTTTTTAATTCTTGAGTAGCAGTGAAATTATCATAAGCCAGATTATGAGAGCCGTGAAAAGATTGAATAATAGAACTTATTTGAAACTTTGATTCATCTAATTATAAGAATTATTATAACCGTATGATATAACAGTAGCACTCATAAAAAAGGTGCTAAATAAATATTTGTCTTGCCTCAGGACGCAGGACTTAACGTAATCACTGATGCCAAATACTACCATTACTACCATAAGGACATCAACTTTTGTAAGTATGTTTCATCATTAATGCATGCACACTCAATCCCTCATAATTTGGAAGAATCAAACACGATGAACAAAAACGCTTGTTCAATTGTTACAGGAGCAACAAAAATTAAATAAAAGTTGACCCAAGCGCTCAGATTTTACAGAACAGCGATGTTTGGTAGGCAACTATTTAGAAATATGTGCACGATTGGAATGAGTTTATAGTGATGGCATGTCAGCTTAACATGGACCAACTCAAATTGGTGTAAGTCGTAGACATTATCCCCAAGATGAAACCCATAAGCATCTACATGGTACTGACGAGTCGGTGATCAGAATCAGAGCGAATAAATAATAAGCAAGTCGAGTATGCATCAACATATTAAAGTTCCTTGTATATTAGTTTCCGTTTTAGTCACTTTAGTCACCCATGCTGTGACGTATATTTGAGGCAACATTGTTCCTCGATATTTTGTTTGTCTTATGTCTGAGTCTGTCAAACCAGTGATTGCTTGATCTCCAAAGTAGGTTTTATCATTGTCTGTTTTACGTTTACAGTCCCAACTACTTCACCAGGATATGCATTTGGTAAGTCTGATATATTTGGATCTTATTAAATTTAATGTTGAAATCCCTACCATATGTATTTCATTGTGGTTTTTATCTTAACATTGTGTACGTCCAAAATAGTACGAATACATCTTTACACATATATGATATATTTTTTTATATTAAATCTCAGGAGAATAGCATTAGTTACAAGAGAATGACGCTTTCTTACAAATTTAAAAGAAGAAGAAGAAGCCCTTGTCATCAGGGGCATGAAGGGACAAGAAGTAGCCTCGAAATGTTGCTACAATTAATGAAGAAGTTTTCAACGTCTTTCCGCTTTTCACACCACTATCACACATGATAAACTTCAAATTTCATTCCTGATCCTGATGGTTATGATAATAAACAAGATGATCATAGATATGGTTACATATCTATCTGTAGATGTTCAGGACAATTTGTCAGAAAAGAAAGCAAATGTCATCTGAAGTTTATTGAGAAAGGAATATGTAAAATGCTGGACTTCCTCATTGAAAACAACAATGTCAAATTTGGAGGTAAATGTTGAGACAAGATGTAGGTTGTTGGTGCTTATCTGTTTCTTTATGAATCTGAATTTCTGCTTGGATTGGCTAAGGCAAAACAAGATAAGTTGACAAAGAAGTTTAAGTTTTGCTTTAAGTATCTCGATTGGCGACAGTGTCAAAGAGGCACGCAATCGTGGAGTCACACAGGATTCTGCTTTAGCCTCGATGGTAACATCAGTAACGTCTGCAAACTGGCATACTACAGTATTAGAAATATTGGCCTTATCAGGAAACAAATCAATCCACGCGTGGCTGCAGCTCTCGTTCAGGCTTTCGTTATACTAGATTATTGCAATGCTCTCCTGTATGGGTTGCCAAAATACCAGATCGTAAAATTCAACGTGTTCAAAACGTAACTTCCAGAGTGATAACACGTGTGTACGAACATCTTCCTCTTGAACTGATGGACTACACTGGTTCCAGATCGCAAAACGCACCGAATTCAAATATTTGTGTTAGTATACAAAGCACTTCATGACATCGATCCACCTTAAATCAGCGAATTGATACAACGATATCAACCAGTAAAATCATTCAGGTCTGGTCAACAGTCAGCTCTGTCTATGCCTCAAACCAGAAATATGTCACCTGGTGACCGATGCTTTGCAAAGGCCGGTCCAACGCTTTTGAACAATACACCGTCAACATCAAAAGTGCCAAAGTTATGAACAAATTCAAGGGGCTGTTAAAATCCTTCAAATCCACCTGCAACTCTCTGTTTGACCTCCTCCCGACTCATGATAAAAGCGCCTTTGAGTAGATCCAGTCTTGAAACTGGTTCTGTCCAAATTTGGTGTTTACATTTCACAACTTTGAGGTTAAATTGAGCATGCTCTTTCTACGAAGATTTCAAAGAGCGTCATGCGACTCGTGCTCAAACGTTGCTTGATCAAGGTTACAACATTCAAGGCTTCAGTAAAGCTTTCAAATAGTTTTATTCATGTGGAGGACATTTCCAAAACATGACACATCAGTGACAATTCCCTATTTTGTCTTGTACCATATGTGCCCATGTATTTCGGATGAACACTTTAGACTTGCCTGTGGATGTTTTTGTTACGGGTGCCACCGTTGGGGCATGCTACGCTCACCTTTTTGCGAACAGCTGGTGTCATCACTGTTTGATAGTCATTTATTAACACATGCTCATTGTAGTCGAAATCCTAAAATCGACTCTGTTTTGAACCTAAATTCTAATGCTTATTGAAAGGATATTGTCGATTGGATTTAAGTTCATCCAATTGCTAAATGCCTATTAAAGGCTTAAAACACAGACACATTATAGAATATTGAAATCTGTCTATTTCCAGGAGGGATGCCACATGCCATCATAGCAGGATCGGTATCAGGTCAGAAGGTCAAAGAGGTGGAGAGGGTCAGACAGGAATTCCCTGAGACCTGGCTATGGATCAATAAGACTGTTGGGTAAGAAATTGTAATGATTTTTATATCCATACATGGAACTGTTATACACTCCCGTCATCAAACCAATACGTGATCAATCGAAAAGAAAGATACGGTTCCATAAAATAGGATCAGGTAAATTCAATCTACTGGTTATTCCCTACCTTGTACATTTGTCCATATTATCCACTGAATCTTTTTTTCAAACAATAGAATCTTTGTTCACCACGTGTTTGTACTTTAGTGTCAACATTTCACTTTTTAGATTCATTTGAGATGCCCTTTCAAAGAAGATTTAAAAGAGCGTCATACGACTCATGCTCAAAAGGTGTTTGTTCAGGGTTATAGCATTCACGGTCTTGCTTTCAAACCGATTTACGGTAGAGGTCATTTCCAAATGCGACGCATCTGTGACCAAAATGATGTCAATTCTCCATTTTGACATGTACTCTATGTTCCCTTGTGTTTTAGGGTGAACATTGGACTTTTGCATGTGTTCAAAACGGGTGCGTCTTTTCATCTACAAATCAGCTTGTTGTCTGTTTGTCCAGATCTGATGGTAAAGCCAACATCAGTACTACCGTGCCTGACACTATCACCTCCTGGATCGCCAGCGCCTTTGCTGTCAACTCTGCCACAGGACTTGGTGTAGCCCCAACAACCACAAAGGTTCAATGATGAATTTATACTGGGCCTCGCCTCAGAACCAAATTACGTGCTCGTGCAGAAATTGTTGAGTCAGTATGACAAAATATTTCATGAATTCCCCGTGCCAATACACTTGTTTTTCACACATCATGAAACAGAATGCATGTTTTCTCTAGTTCAGCATTTATGTGTGTCATTTCATTCTTCAGGTGCATATCATGTTGAAAAATGTTGTTAAATGAAATTTTGATCCCGGAAATATTTCGGACTTTTCACTCTGTATGAATATTTTCCTTGATGTGTATCTTGTCTTCTCAATCCCAAATTTGAAAAGCAACGTGCCAAATATCCTAGCATAAAAAGGCCTCATTAACTCATTTCATATCTAAAAACACACAATGTTTATGGTCTAAGTCTAACTTTAACGTTTCATTTCTTCAGCTGCGTGTCTTCAGTCCCTTCTTCGTGAGCCTTTCCATGCCTGCCTCCGTTTTGCGTGGAGAACAGGTCGTTATTCAAGCCAGTATCTTCAACTACCTGCCCAGTGACGTGGACGTGAGTCTCACTTTAAATCATATACAATGAAGACATTTCCAACTACAAACGACATGTGACTAACTTATTCACACATGAGCGCACCTGCATTATTTTAGCGATCGGTACAAGAATACTGTTAACATCCTGTCCAGTGACGTGTACGTGAGTTTTTTTTATTATTGTTTGTGAGGCGGCCCAAAACAAGGTGACGTATTATCAACGCAGTGCAGAAATTACATATGGCGCCACACATTGTTTCTGAGGACGTCCCAACAATATTTTGACTGAGCTGATGTCTTTTATCTTCATTTCAACGACAAAACATGCAACTCGGAATAACAGATAATCGGCCCCTCGTGTTGAAAGTTTATCAACAATTAATTCACTTGGCACCGATAATCGGTTATGTCTTGTAGATTTTTGCTCTCTAACAATTACCTGAAAATACAGTAATAGTAATATTGCTCAACCACCATGAATATGTTAAATAGGTTGTGGTGTCGTTGCCAACATCATCGGACTATGTCAACGTGGCTGTTGACAGTACCGGTAAAACCACCAAGGAATCAAAGGACCAGACAGAGTATGTCACAGTAGGTGTTGTGCAACAGTCGTATTTACTTTCAATCTTTAACAGATGGTACCATTTAAGGTGTTACACTCTTTTGTACACGGGATTTAGAATCAAATATCGGTCTACATATACGCCGAGTGGAGGCCAGTCCTGGCATGAATCCATGTTGTAAGCACATTGCGTACTGGTGGAATCAGCTTACCAGACGCACGAATGAGATGTGTGAAATGTTAATTACATGATAAATGGTCCGACTGCCACAAAGTAGTACCCGGAGCTAAGAAAGTCCGGATAAGACAGATTTGACGTGATGATAAATGCAGGTTGTTCTTAGACCGTACATTTGGTCCGGCATTGACTTTGTACCGGGTTCCAGATTCCACTGAAGCTGGTATTGTAATGTTCGCATGTTAAATGTACTGCTTAACACACATACACTCTCCAAATACCCCTCGTTCCAACCAGGTGAAATCCAACGAGCCCCAGACTGTGTACTTCCCCATCATTCCATCATCTCTGGGAGCTATCGACATCGAGGTGTCAGCACGAACAACACTAGCTGCTGATGCTGTCAGGAGACAACTCAATGTCCAGGTAAAACCAGTTTGGTTGTATTGGGGATATATACTAGTACACACACACACACACACACACACACACACACTCTCTCTCTCTCTCTCTCTCTCTCTCTCTCTCTCTCTCTCTCTCTCTCTCTGTATGGATATGAATGTTTCAATCATTCCTATTGCTGAACAACATCAATCGGGACATGCACAATTTAAGAAATGCGGATAACTTTTACAAATCACTGTGAAATCTTTGGCCTAAGCCTTTTTGCTTTAGTTATGAAATGTACATAAACACGTAACAAATACCTTGTACGAAAAAAACGTCTACGGTTATAAACTTGTTCATCTATTTCATCATGTTTGAAGTTTAAATTTTGCAAGTGTAAGAAAGAAAACACCAAGTCTGATATTCTTCATACCACCTAGACGTCAAATATAAAATCTGAACATTCCAAGTGAAATCGGCCGTTATTCTGTCTCATCCTTTCATGATTGTAATTCGTTCCATAATAATTGCTTGGAATCCGGAATCCTCTTGAGTTCCTGATGTAGCCATCTCTTGTGACTAGTAATTAGGTGCTGACCGCCTCCGTGGTTTTGTGGTGGATTGTCTGCCCGGAGTAAGGAATGTCGAGGGTCCGAATTTAGATGGTACTTGTTTATACCCTGCCTGGAAAAAAATGTACTTGTTGTTACACTGTGTACCCTTGGGTTGAAAGTTGTTTCAATAAAAAATTGTATATTGATATATTCATTGTTCAATGTGGAAAGTTTACAGTTTAAAATAATTTCTAATCCCAGGCAGAAGGCATCCCCAAAGAATACAACACACCTGTCTTCATTGATCTGACATCAGGTGGTGCTGACTTCAACCAAAAGGTGGCACTGTCACTACCATCAGAGACTGTGACTGGATCAGAGAAAGTCAGGGTCAAAGTGACAGGTATTCTACTTTAGTGACAGTTGTATTGACTTAATCTGATATGTTTTATTGGAAGTGGGCGGATTGAAAACCTAAGCGATTTTATAATAAACTACAGTGACGTAACAGTTTAAGTAACATTCAATATGACATTACCATTGCTTGTGTTTCAGGTGACCTGATCGGTACCAGTCTCGACAACCTGGAGAACCTTCTGGCTCTACCAACCGGATGTGGTGAACAGAACATGATGACCTTTGCCCCGGATGTATATGTTGCTGATTACCTTTACACAACCAAACAAATGACACCCGCACTGGAGTCGAAGATCATGAGCTATCTGGAGCTAGGTAAGAATATAAATTTATGAATGAATGATTGTTAAATACTCCGGTACCCAAAGATGCATTTGTGATCTTTCTGTCTCCTCTCAAAGTTCCATTTCTCAAAACATTTATTACCTTCAGGCTACCAGAGAGAGCTGTCCTATCAGAGAAACGATTGGTCCTTCAGTCCCTTCGGAAACAGAGATGAGGCAGGACACATGTGGTGAGTTTTAAGAGTCTCCCTCTGACAGAAGCTGCTTAATAAGTAGTAGGACATTCATCTGAAAAGTCACACAAAACTTAATCTTACACATTGCTTGCTTCATTTTTTCAAAGGCTGACGGCATTTGTAGCACGCAGCTTCCATCAAGCCAGGCCATACATTTTTGTGGGCAATCAGACTTTGGGAAGGTCTCTGGGCTGGATGGCACAGAGGCAGAATTTGGATGGATCCTTCAATGAGCCAGGGCTTGTGTTTGACAGACAGATGCAGGTACTGACATCACATTATTAGATACTGATAGCTCCATATTAATATATACACTAACATGCATCCGCTGGTCTATGTCTCGTTTGTGAAGAACGCGCTTCTTCTGTTTCCTCAGAGCTCCAAAGCCTCTCTGACATCCATGGTGCTACTGGCCTTCTTGGAGAATCAGGACATGGGCGGATATGGCGTAAGTGCAGGTTTATCAATATAGAGACTTGAAATACGAAAACGGACATATTTCATAGCATGGGTGGGTGTCAGTAAACATTTCCGTTTCCTATTCTGTGTTATACCTGAAACACGACTTCATGAAGCAACCAAGAGAAACATCGATATATAAGGCCCCGACAAATGAATTATTTGTTTGGATTTATTTGTTAGGTTAGGTTTGTTAGCTTTCGTAAATTTTTGTTCGATTATTTAAATGGGACTGTCTTAGTGAGAACATGATTCATTATTCCTCCTAGTTGATGTATGTCACTGGCTGAATGTAATAACATGTGAAATGCGATTAGATATTTAAAGTTTATTTGTTTGCTTTTTCGGAAATGTAATTTTGTAGAAAAGTAATATTTTAATCATTTAATCAAATATCCCCATGATTCCGAATATGATTAAATTCGGTATGAAATGATCCTGTCTTGTTCTCGTGTTTCTGCAGGGGAACAATTGACCTGCCTTTACATGTGTTTGTGACGGGTGCATTAGAAGGGGCAGGATATGCCCAACTTTTGGCGAACACTTGGTATCATGACTATTTAATAGAGATTCATAAACATATGCTCATCATATAGTCGGAATAGTAACATTGACTTCTTTCTTATTAATAGGGAACTTTTATTTATTGAAACAGTGACATTAAAAAGGATCAAAATAGTTTTATGACTTTCCCTACCCAGATCGGACAGTACACGTTAGGAAATGCCACCATGAATGCCACGAATTACCTGGAGTCAGTGGCTCCCTCCATCACGGACCCCTTCACTCTCGCCATTGTCAGCTACGCCTTGTCAGAGGCAGGGAGTTCGGTAGCAGATGTCACATTTAATAAACTCAATGCAGCAGCAGTGGTTCAAGGTAAATATCGTAATTGTGTTAACTTGTAACGACAGCAATTAAACAACAGTTACATTTGACTTCATATTATACTGAATAATAATAGTGGAGTACAAAGTGTGAACACTTGCGGTCCTAGCTACATTCTTGCATGCTTAAATACACCGAAACGTAATCATCAGGTACTCTGAAACACTGGACGGAACCAACAACAACCTCCTCATCTTACTACACGAACTGGATTCCTCCACATACACGCGCCCAGCCAATCGACATTCAGACAACAGCGTATGGCCTTCTCGCATCTTCTGCTCGTGGTGACCTCAAAGGGGGTCTTCCTATAACTAACTGGCTGACCTCACAGAGGAACCCGTATGGTGGTTTCTCTTCAACACAGGTAAGTGTGAAATCAGGACAGTCAAAGGATATATTTTCAGCACCATCACATAAAGCCACCATATTTCTCGTGAAGTTAAGTTAGGTTTTTGCAACAGGATTCAGAATGCACAGAGTCAGCCCAAGGCATTATATGAGGACCTGGATTAGTACAAGCTAATATAAATATGTATGCCTACAAAATTTCAGTTTTGTGCATCTCTTGTCAGTGTTCTTTAACGTAAAATATAGGTATTTCAAATTGTATGACGATTTTTAAAACAATGCTGATGCTCATGTATCACAGGACACCATGGTGGCACTGCACGCCCTCACTGACTATGCCCGTCGTGCACACACTTCCGGTTTCCATGTTGAGGTTGACATCAAGAGCGGAAGTGACAACCAGCACATGTCTGTGACTGACAACAACGCCCTCGTACTGCAATCAAGAGAAGTACGATTCGAAACCGGCTCATAGATATATAAAACCAATAAACTGCTGATATTAAAGTTCATTCTCCTGCAATAAAACGAATTGTCTTCCATAAATTGCGCAAACCACATGGAACAGAGGTAACATTATATTAATGGCTCATGTTTGTAATCGAAGGCTCTGTTTTAAAGTTTATCTTATGATTTGTCTCCAGTTGACGAGGTTCCCTAAGGAGGTGTCCATCACGGCAACTGGGAAAGGTGTCGCATATGCAGAGGTAAGTATCACACAATGGATATAACATACTGTTCTGACTATAACATGAGATAATAGCTGAATCTCATTCCTCATAAACTGAATACAGAATATATCAAATCAGATAGCAAACTACCTCTGACGATACGTTTACTTTCCTTTTCTAGGTTGATGTGTTCTTCAACGTTGAGGCTGAGATTGGCGACCCATCCTTTGACATAAACACGGTGCTGCTTGATGACACCATCAACAATTTTAGACTGATGACCTGCACCAAGTGAGAACACATTTAAAAATACTTTCAGTTATTTAAGTGATATTTGTTATTAATGATACCTCTTTTTGCCTTGGCAAAGCAATACTTTCAATGTCTTTGAAAGGGGTTTAGAAAGGGATGAGAAAGAAATCTGTTCGGCTGTTATGTGATTGAGCAAACATGACATCAGTTATATTATTTCCCTTCAAGATGGCTGAAGGATGGATCCAGTGGAATGACCGTGATGGAGATATCTATCCCATCAGGCTTTGATCCGGATATGACGTCAGTCGGGAACGTTGCTGGTCTGAAGAGATTGGAAAGACGTGGTAGAAATGTTGTTGTCTACTTTGATGAGGTGAGTTTATGACGGTTTTAACTATTTAATTAGTAGTTATATTATATTGTTTTACCCATAGATATACTTACATGTAGAATGAAATCTCAAAGTGGACTTGTAGGGTAAGTCATTTCATTAAATGACTGAAATGTGAGAGTATTTTTTTCATTACCCGACTGCTACCATCGGTCAAATAGCGTAATCCATATCTGTTCAAACAACACTTGTTCATTACTAATCCATTCACTTTGGCCAATTTTCTCATCCATTGTTACAAAAAGAATTTGTGGCTTCCACTCACTTAAAACCCCACATTTATATATCAGTTCAAAGACTCGCAGTAGCTATAATGTAGTGTTGTATCCATAGTTTTACATACGTGTAGAATGAAACCTAATCGCGTTTGCACATACATTTCATTTCCTCTTTCTAAGATCGGCACAACTTCCATCTGCTTTGACATCCTGTCCACCAGAACTGGCATGGTGACTAACAACCAGCCCAGCTACGTTACTGTCTACGATTACTATCAGCCGAGTGAGTATGAAAGTCATGCATTCAGTGTTGATAATGTTGCTCTCAGTAACTCAGTAAATTGTTTTGTTGCTACTTCTTGTACGTGAATTTACCAGAGGCAAGGCGGTAACACTAAAATGATCTTGCAGATTTTGATTCGGAAAAGTTTGTTGTATATGAAAGTATCTGATTTTGTTATTCTGTACATCCTTCTTTGCAGGTAACCAAGGTGCCACTTTCTACGAGACTCGCAGTCTCAAACAAGCCACAATTTGTGATGTGTGTGACAAATGCTGCACCTAGGTCCGTGAATGAGTTTTCGTTTCCATTAACTTATATTCTTTTACACATGATCCGTGAAGATTCCGGGGTAGAATAGGTCTTCAGCAACCCATGCTTGCCGTAAAAGGTGACTATGCTTGTCGTAAAAGGCGACTAAAGGGATCGGGTGGTCAGGCTCGCTGACTTGGTTGATGCATGTCATCGATCCCAATTGCGCGGATAGATGCTCATGATATTAATCACTGGATTGTCTGGTCCAGACTCAATTATTCACAGACCGCCGTCATAAAGCTGGAATATTGCTGAGTGCGGCGTAAAACAAGAAACCAACCAACCAACCATTCTTTTACACATTTGAATGTTCAGTAAGTGACTTCTCAAATTGCCATTTCATATATGAAATCTATGAATTTAAATTAAAGTGTTTCACATTCCTTTATTTGTTTGTTTTGCATGACTGCTATTGGGATCATTTTGTATCATGAGGTCAATTGCATACTCTTTTCAGATATGAAGACATACTGGACAATGGAAAAGACAGCCAATGCAATTGTTGCATAATATGTGAATAAATAATGCAAACGTCACTCATGTGTGTTATCTATTTCAAATGATAAAGAATAATTGAAGCCCTAAGGTACAGAAATCCCCACCTTGTTTTTGGACTTTGTGTTTGGTGTGGTTGGGTAAAGATTCAGACTGACAGTCTACAATGCGGTATGTTTGTATAACAGGGATGGCTTCAACGTTCCTATAATCAACTTTCCCTTTTTGTCGAGTGATATTCCAGGAGTTCCAGCCTTTGGTGTCTACATTTGATAACTTTTAAGGTACAGTCGAACTTGTCATTTTTCGAAGATTTCAAACAGCTTCATATGGGAGAAATGATGATGAAATTTCCAAATTGACCCATCAGTAACAGAAATGGAAAATTATCATCTGTCATTTGAGATATTACAAATTATATTCAAAGTCGTCCTAAACATTTGAAAATGCCCTCCACGTTAACCATAAATGGTTTTGTTATTGTGATCCGGGTTAAAAAAACTTAGAAAACAACTAACGTTTCATGTGAGTTGAAATAAAAATGTCTTTAGCCTAAATTGTTGCTGTCGTATTGTTGAGTATTGCGTCTGTTGGATTGCTTTCAAAGATAACAGTTTGGGTTATATATAATAATACAATGTTGAAACCTGCATCCATTGTTGATTAGTCCTGATCGTGATCATGTGATGTTGAGTGAGGCAGTTTGAATTGTTTTTCGCCACTTGTAGCAATGGCCGCTTTTAGGATGTGTGAACTCGAGCCGGGTGCTTCAGCGTGACGAGCGAGTACCTCCATGTGATGATGAATCATAAGACGGAGGTGTGTTACTCGGTATGTCTTTAATATCAGAGATATCCACTCTTCACGTTAAGTCCATATACGTCTATGAACGAACAGTAGTGTAAGTGAATGAATGTTGAGTAAGGCCAGGATAAAATATTCTTGTTACTTATGACTTTTATCAAAACTGACTGGGGAGAAGTTCACACCAGATTGAACCTATTCATTTGACAAGCTATGAAAATGGCTGAAAACATCAAATCTGACAAATTAATTTGACGAGTTTGGCGAGTATCAAGATTCTACTTATTCTTTTGGCAATTGGGCAAGATGGCTACAAACCTCACATTCGATTTTACATTGTATTATATCGGATTCCTTATGACCTTCAGATACATGTAGGTCCATTCTCAAAGTGCAAATCTCTTGGGACTATACACCCTTGCAGACATGGATAGATCGTGAGATCGTTAAGAGAGACTGAAGTACATGGAACCTTATCTGACCTAGAATCACCACAGGGATAACAATATGTTTTGTGATAGTGTCGTATCGTCCCTGGTTCCACTTAATCAGCCTGGTGTCATAGAAGTGAATTTTGCTTGCTTAATTCTTTATTGTGTTTATCAGAGTCATCTTCGTGAGGATACTTACTCATCATGACTACCCTTGGTCTTTACAAACTTGAACACCCCGTTGAACAGAACTTAAGTTCATGTCATGTCTGCTTGATGTAGGTGGAAAGCCCGAAGTGATGCAGATCTTTGACATTTACCACTTTGGCGAAACCCACGAGCACGGAAATGATAATGACAAACCTTGACATATGACCGGGACGAATCTCAGATTCGAACCCACGTTCATAGGTTTCTGGCACTTCTAAAGGACGAAACTCTATACAAATCCATGTCGCTTTCATATATACTGAGTCTTCAATTAGGTAGTAATACGTTTGTAAGCTTGTGATACGGGCTGATAACCCAAGTCAATTCCGACAGGCTATTGATGGTGTTACCAACGCAAATGCAGGGCTGCGTGTCACTGAATGTTAAAGAGATCCTGCAAGCACGATCATACACCTTTCATCATCAACAATGGGGCCATAGTGGGACAGGACCTACATCATTTCGGAATGTCCTGCCACATCACAATGAACCACCGTAAGATAGCTAAAAGCGGTGAGAAATGAAACTCATTCACTCTCATTAATGAAGGCTTTTTAAAGTTTATCAAATACACCCACAACCTAGTTATCTATTTCCAACTTCAAAGAATTCAAACCTTGATTCAATGAGAACTCTCCGTTTTTAAAGTGCTAGTTGATATCGGTCATTATCCGTGTTTACATCATGAACAAATTTCAAAAAAAATTCCATTAGAGAATCTACATTTCCTTTAAATTTAAACTCACTTAAAGTGGAAATATCATGAAAAATAGTAACAGAAATTTTGACATCATTGTGTAGGCAGTATTATGTACAATATGATGGCCGAGCAAAACGATGTGAAATTGGAAGCGATGTTGCGCTTAATACGTATTTAGAGGTCTGTATTTGTTACAGCCAAAATGAATCTTAAAAAGCGCTGACGAGTAGGGGTGTCTTAATAAGCACGGCCAGCTAGGCACGCAAGCTGTATATTATACATGTATTATACTGGTGTGGAGTCCATGTATGTCAAGTGTATAGCTAGTGGGGGCGTGTCAAGTAACCTTTTTTTAACAGGAATTATATAATTTTAACTTTGCAAAATATTTTCTTTTGATTTGAGGGCCTGGGCTCTCCCACCCCTTTCCCAATCCGTGCCCTTATAAAGATAAACATCGATTGATCTTTGTAGACAATTACCCTGAACCTTATTGTCTCACCTTCAGTCACACTCATCTCACAACTGCAATAGAGTCTTGCATAGTGAATGCCAGCAGTCAGTCAAGGTATCATAATTCACTCAGCCATGTGTACAGTGAAATGTGACAAGTTAGCAAGTGACACGGATTCACAGAGTCGATGACATGTCGATTCTTCTTTGTTGTTTTATTTTAAGACTGCAACATGATTTTGTGATTAAGAAAAAAATAAACATTTTATATTAGTATGCTTGACTTAATTCACCAAAATAGAATTTGTGTGTTCTTTCTAGTTACTTCTTAGAGTTTCCCTTGTGAAGCTATTTTGGTTACTTTCAGGATACCAGCGGGAATTGACCTTCCAGAGATATGTTGGTTCGGACAGTCCTTTCGGAAACCGCGATGAGGCAGGATACATGTGGTGAGTAATGGCAGTCCCTTCCAACAAAGGTTTATTCGGATACAAACTCCAGTTGCTCGTTATGCATTCCATTTGATTTATAGTCCTCCTGGCTATTTCTCAAATAGATTTGATTCTAACAAACAAGCTTGTTTTATGTTCATCAGGCTGACTGCATTCGTAGCTCGCAGTTTCCATCAGGCCAGACCCTACATCTTCGTGGGCAACCAGACTCTAGGGAGGGCACTCAGCTGGATGGCAGACAGGCAGAATGTGGATGGGTCCTTCAATGAGCCTGGCCTTGTGTTCGACAGACAGATGCAGGTACTTGCATTACTACCTCTTCACGCAAGTTGTTTCCACATTGAAATTGCAGGACAGAGACAGAATACAGTGCATATGAATGGTGTATGTCCTCAACAAATGTTTGCTTTGTTTTCTCAGAGCTCAGAGCCTCTCTAACAGCCATGGTCCCGATGGCCTTCCTGGAGAACCAGGACATGGGCGGATATGGAGTGAATCCAGTCTTGGCAATAATAATAAACTTGAATATACAAATGAGTTGACGGGTTTTATGTTAATATACATTAATTGTCCTGTTTGTCAGTGTTTGTTATACCCATTCAAAACAGAACATTTGCTGCCAATTTGATTGTAACCAACCTAACATGTTCATGATGGTATGTTACCAGTGAACCGATAATAAGACCATTCCTAGAAATTCATTGAAAGTAGAACAAGGTTCAAATAATGTTATAAACATATGTATGTGTTTCTCTATGAACAGATTAATCAGTACACGCTGGAAAACGCCACCGTGAATGCCACGAATTACCTGGAGTCAGTGGCTCCCTCTATCACGAACCCCTTCACTCTCGCCATTGTCAGCTACGCCTTGTCTGAGGTTGGGAGTTCGGTAGCAGATGTCACATTCAACAAACTCAACGCTCAGATGAGGTTCACGGTAAAATGTTTATGCATTGATGTACATAAGCCAATATAATGGTACGTGAATCTTCAGATCTATCAGCCTAATTGATATGCTGTATACATGATGGTAATACGTGTTTGGAATCCCCATGCAGGTACTCTGAAACACTGGACTGAACCCACTACCACCTCCTCTAGCTACTACACAAAATGGACTCCTTCACACACACGTGCCCTGCCAATCGACATCCAGACTACGGCTTATGCCCTTTTGGCGTCCTCTGCACGTGGTGATCTGAAGGGAGGTCTTCCAATCACGAACTGGCTGACTTCACAGAGGAACCCGTATGGTGGCTTCTCCACGACGCAGGTTAGTGTGTTGTCATATGTTAGTCCAATATTACACCATTGAGAAGTCAAAACAAGTTACTGGTTATGCACCTGAAGGTCTTCAGTGTGAACTGGCTTTATCATAATGTTGATAGCAACATTTTGTGTAAGCTAAGTGTGGGGAAAATTCCAATTTGACGCAGGACCTCGACTTTTAACAGTTTGGCAAAGCTATAGAAAACAGACATGGCGATGACATACCATAGATCATCGTGAGGGCGAAGCAGGGATTCGATCCCATGACCAGAGGTACATGGAAGGAAGGATCGATTACAATTACCCCATGGTTGTCAAATAGTTCATGGTCGTTAAAACGTAATGTTGAATGTCTAATGGAGTTGCTGATTTGTGTCCAAATGAGGTCTTTGGGTATAGTTTGAACTGGTCAGAATGAGGAAACGGGGATAGATGTGCGTAAGGGTTGTTTACAGATTTTAAATGTATTTTGGAATACAAGTCATAGCCATGGATGCCTCTTTTAATAAATACCAGAACATTATATTTCTTATGACTTATCCCCATTTATCCCCTATTTCCCCCCAAAAGTGAATCAATATGCTAAAATACACATAATTCATAAAATAACACATTCACTTCAAAATTGATTTGTTGTTGTTGCTACTTTACTTTTTAAATGACTGGCTATACTTTTGATGCGTTAATAGGGCTCATGTTATAGAAGTAATGGATGACTGATAATATGTCAACGACTATTGTGTTACATACATTTGCCTGTGACATATTGGATGAAACGAAAGAACAAGCTACATAAATCCAGTGGAATTCATGTATTCGCAAACTCCCATTCATTCTTTCTTCCTCACATCCTTTGTTGAAGCCCAACATAACTATATTAATAGGCATACTTCATCCGACAAATGTTGTTATCCCACGATGTTGATATTCTGTAGAATATTCAAGCTAGATTTATCTACATGCAACATATTAGGCTGGTGTATATTTAGTTCAATACCACTTCATCCACAGCTGACAGCATTCCCCAAGGAGGTGTCTGTCACAGCCACTGGTAAAGGTGTCGTTTATGCTTAGGTGAGATATGCATGTAATTGATAATCTATTCTGTGTACTGATGAAACATTATGACATTCATACCGTGAGTCAGTAGCCTAAATAAATCAAATTGGTTTCACCCAGTGAATTTGTTTTATATGAGAATACCTTAAATAAGTTGTTCTTCAATATTCTCGATTGTTGCCAAGGTTGATGTGTTCTTCAACGTCGAGGCAGAGATGGGCGAACAATAATTTGACATCAACACCGTGCTGCTTGATGATACCATCAACAACTTCAGACTCATGACCTGCACCAAGTAAGAACTTCTTAAACAACAATGTACTAGTTTGATCCAAGTTATACTAAAGTGGATAATCTTGAAGCAATTGCTTTGTTGATATAACACAACATATTTAATTATGGCTTTGGTGAATAATGCAATTCAGATATGTACATATTAAATATACGGTTAATGGTTTGCTTTTTGATTTCCACAAGGTGGCTAAAGGTTGGATCAAGTGGAATGACTGTCATGGAGATATCTATCCCGTCAGGGTTTGATCCCGATGTGATTTCCATCGGTAACGTCGCTGGTCTCAAGAGAGTTGAGAGACGTGGCAGAAATGTTGTTGTATATTTTGATGAGGTGAGTCATTGGAATCTTTTTACAGCAGTTGCTGCTGATGAACCATACAAAAACTGCGTTATAGTAAAAATAATGCGCAGACAAATGTTGACCAGCTGATACTATACTGAGACCATTGTGATGAATTAGTTGTTGAGGACGAGCACCATTTGGTTTTAGTCTGTTTATATCATAAACAAAGTAGAAATAGATTCATCCAACAATAATACCTAAACATCCTTTTAGTCAGAAATTAATTGAACTAATGTACTCTCCAACACATTCAATAATCAAACGTCTTGCCTTGTGTCTGAAGAAAAGTGTATGTACATTAGATTTAAAAAACGAACAAAAGTATTCTGTATTACTTCACATATCATGTAATAATTGTTTATTAATTGAATCCACAAGTGAATAAGATCTAAATGTATTGTACTCTTGGCCACGAGGCATCCACTACTGAATCTTGAATCTGGATCATATTATAGCGTCATCTTTCTTCATGAGAGTTCTGATATTGATCCTCCCAGACATTTTAAGCAAATTCCACACACGTGTCACTCTAAATATTTTCAGATGCATATAATGCATACATATATTCTGTAATCTCAGATCGGCACAACGTCCATCTGTTTCGACCTCCTGTCCACCAGAACCGGCATGGTGACGAACAACCAGCCCAGCTACGTCACTGTCTACGATTACTATCAGCCAAGTAAGTATAGGAATTAAACACTTGATTTACAATGAATGCAGAGTTACTGTCAGTCTTTATATACGGCTGAATCGCCTCTATCGCCAAGTATAATCCTTATTTGCTAGGGGATTTCAGTTTAAATGAGTTTTATTATCGATAGATCGAACCCAAAATAGATACAATGTTTAGGTAGATATACGTTTCTTTATCATCGGATTTTTAAGAGTTGTTTTCTTTCCAGATAACCAAGGTATAGCTTTCTATGAAACCCGCAGTCTAAAAAAGGCCACCATATGTGACGTGTGTGACAAGTGTTGTCCCAAGGTAAGATTAACAGTTTTCGACTGTTTAATAGTTATAATAATTAAACATTAATAACTCACCTAAATTATTTATGTTTAGATCTCTACTCTACTCATAAACATCTTAGAATTTTGAACAATGTACTTTTAGTTAACCCTAGTTACTTTGTTACTAACCAATTACTTGTATTCGCAGGTGTGAAGAGGGCTCGGACCGAAAGCCAGCATGTCATTGTACAATTGTGTAAATAAACTAAACAAAACACCCCTTAAAAACACGCGTATCTAGTATTTTATTGGATGCATTATCGGAATTGGCATGATTTGGGGAGCAAATTGTTCATTCTGAAAACACTATCCTGCACGAAAGTTACATTTATATAGACACAGGGATAAAGGCAAAACTACAGAGAATTTATCCCTCACTGAGGTATAAAAGGGTCAGGCAAGGTGGTACTGATGATGGCTTTAACCGTCAGCCCTGTACAAACTGACAACAGTAAATAAACTTTGACAGTCAGCCCTGAACAAACTGACAACAGTAAATAAACTTTGACAGTCAGCCCTGTACAAACTGACAACAGTAAATAGACTTTGACAGTCAGCCCTGAACAAACTGACAACAGTAAATAAACTTTGACAGTCAGCCCTGTACAAACTGACAAGAGTAAGAAGACTTTGACAGTTAGCTCTGTACAAACTGACAACAGTAAATAGACTTTGACAGTTAGCTCTGTACAAACTGACAACAGTAAATAGACTTTGACAGTTAGCTCTGTACAAACTGACAACAGTAAATAGACTTTGACAGTTAGCTCTGTACAAACTGACAACAGTAAATAAACTTTGACAGTTGGCTCTGTACAAAATGACAACAGTAAATAAACTTTGACAGTTAGCTCTGTACAAACTGACAACAGTAAATAAACTTTGACAGTTAGCTCTGTACAAACTGACAACAGTAAATGAACTTTGACAGTCAGCCATGAACAAACTGACAACAGTAAATAAACTTTGACAGTCAGCCCTGTACAAACTGACAACAGTAAATAGACTTTGACAGTCAGCCCTGAACAAACTGACAACAGTAAATAAACTTTGACAGTCAGCCCTGTACAAACTGACAAGAGTAAGAAGACTTTGACAGTTAGCTCTGTACAAACTGACAACAGTAAATAGACTTTGACAGTTAGCTCTGTACAAACTGACAACAGTAAATAAACTTTGACAGTTAGCTCTGTACAAACTGACAACAGTAAATAAACTTTGACAGTTAGCTCTGTACAAACTGACAACAGTAAATAAACTTTGACAGTTAGCTCTGTACAAACTGACAACAGTAAATAGACTTTGACAGTCAGCCCTGTACAAACTGACAACAGTAAATAGACTTTGACAGTTAGCCCTGAACAAACTGACAACAGTAAATAGACTTGGACAGTTAGCTCTGTACAAACTGACAACAGTAAATAGACTTTGACAGTCAGCCCTGTACAAACTGAAAACAGTAAATAGACTTTGACAGTTAGCTCTGTACAAACTGACAACAGTAAATAAACTTTGACAGTTAGCTCTGTACAAACTGACAACAGTAAATAAACTTTGATAGTCAGCCCTGTACAAACTGACAATAGTAAGAAGACTTTGACAGTCAGCTCTTTACAAACTGACAACAGTAAATAGTCTTTGACAGTCAGCCCTGAGTGAGTGAGTGAGTAGTATGATTTTACGCCGCTTTTAGGATTATTCCAGCAATATCACGGAGGGGGACACCAGAAATGGGCTTCACACATTGTACCCATGTCGGGAATCGAACCCGGGTATTCGGCGTGACGAGCGAACGCTTTTACCACTAGGCTACGTATATCCGACCGCCTCTCAACAATAAATGAACTTTGACACTTAAGAAGAAGAACTTATTGAAGAAACGTGAGGCACAATAGCCTATAATGCTGAAATGTAAAATTCCCTACTGAGGCGTCAACAAAGTCGCTCTTTTGAGAATTAATACCTTATCTTAAGGGGTATAGCATATTTACCATTATATTTTGAACCAAAATATACGAACCCTTTGATAATGACTTTTCAAATCGTCTGTTACACATCAACAAAAAAAACCAAAGGATATCTAATTCCGATCCGCTTTATTTAATTCTCTCAGACTATTTTATCTGGTGAAAACCACTCTGGACATTAACGTGTTTAATTCTTCAATTCTTTTGTTGCTGAAGTAAAGTGATGGGGAATTTTTGGAACTCGCCCCACCTTCACTTTCCAAGAATGTTCAGGATGCTGGTGTTGTCACGAAACCATGCACAGCCACCCCATCACCCCTCAATCATGTAGCAAACAACAAGCTTGAAGAAAATGTTTGGAAAAAGGTTATATGAACAGGAAACAGAACATCTAGAAACTAGTTTTGACGTAGGATACATGATTTAACGGCCCTTTCGAAATATGTCAGTTATATCTTTAATTGTCATCTTGATCTGGGAGGAAATAATTAAATAATTCTGATGTATAATCAGAATTATCAACATTGAATATCCGCCTTTTTTCCTTTGATTTAGCCAAAGTAGTAAATTCATCCGTTTCTTATTCAATTCACTACAATCAGGACCCATGGGGATACCCACTACTTCTATACATTTTCTATTCCCAGTTTGACAAACATGTTAAAAATCAGGAAATCCAGTAACTTTCTATTTAGGGGCAAGATATTCTATATATTTGTCGAGATGTAAGAATAAAGTGAGAAACACCAAGTGTCTTTGGAATGATATATGGAATTGAATCTTGAGCAAGCAATGGGCGTACATGTAAGTGTGTACGGTATAAAGCAGTTAAGCTATGAACTCTGCCGGATCTCTGCGTCAACTTCAGGCAGGTTGGGATACAGTTATTTGGAGGTATATTCCGATATAAAAACACATGCACAGGAATATCATCATCCGGTGTCATTGTAATATTTCAACTCTCAAAGCAACATACGTTATTAGCAGTGTGTCTTATTTAAAAGTCGGCTGATCTGTCGACGCCATTTGTCCACGTTGTCTAGGACTGCAACAGAAACACACCATCAGAAAAGTCTCTCATGGCCTTATGATAGAAACGGGCAGATGAAGGCGCCCTATATTTAGAAATGAGGTTTTTTCCTGGCGAGATGATGAATTCATTGTACGTTTGGTCTTCCAATCATACTGTCAATAACGCAGGAGGTTGTGTGTGTGTGTGTGTGTGTGTGTGTGTGTGTGTGTGTGTGTGTGTGTGCGTGTGTGTGCGTGCGTGCGTGCGTGCGTGCGTGCGTGCGTGTACATATCAAATGGCCCACAAGGCCGACCTGAAAAAGTTCTCACAACCAGAGCGTCAAAGAGCGACAAACACAGAAATTGAGTAAGGCTGACTAATAATACAGCTTAAATACATTCCAAGTAAAACAAACATGCTCATTAACTTTTTGTATGCAAAAGCGCCTGAAATATATTGGGGCACTCTACAAAGCTGAACATTTGCACATAGAATATGTACTATCAAAACACCACCGTTGGGATTCAGGGTAAAATTACTCCCCAGTAACATGCCGATAGGAGCCGACTAAAATAAAGCGGATGGTTAGACTTGGCTGATTGCATATCATCATGCCCTGTTGGCATGTATTGTAGCTCGGGCTGTCAGTCACTGGCTTACTGGGCCCCGACAAATACAATTTTAGCAGTAAACATTTACTCGCACGACAAAGGATGATGACATTTGTGACAAAATGATATGGTTGTGTTTTATTATCTCATGCCTATAAGCATAGTACAACTTAAATTGATTTTTGTGGCCAATTTGGCAATGTTATACAAATTCGAATATGCGTTCTTAAAGTGTTTCAGAATAGATTTGTAAATGACAAACACTACTGGCCAGGCAATTCTAGGAGGCAATATGAAAGTGTAACCAGTGGTGACTATAACTGAATGTAGCAGTCCAATCTGATGAAACAACGCGTGTCTATTTCGCTCGGGGACTTTGGGCTTTAAATGGAAGAGATACTTTAGGAAAAAATAGAAATATTTATGTTATATTTATTTATTATAATATTTTTATATATTTTATTTCTGAGTTCAAAAGTTCTGAAGTCACCTGAGAGGATATGAATCCAATCCTTGGTCTCCCTTGTGCACCCAGCCACCGCATGATGCCCATTCCAGGGCAGAAGGGGCGGTCGGTGGTTAAAGCGTTCGCTCGTCACGCCGAAGACGCCGGGTTCGATTCCCGCCATGATATTGCTGGAATATTGCTAAACGTGGCGTAAAACCATACTCACTCTCTCACTCGAGGGCAGAAGTTATAAAATGGGAGACGAAAGACATTGCCCCTTGGGTTGTTGTCAAAATGTCGATTGGTTCGGCTTTCTCTTTGGCAGTTTATATATCGGCATCAGTATCCACACCCAAATAATTCTTACCACCTGCACAATACAGACAAATGCTTGGTATGTGTTTGGGGACTACATTGGATCACCCATGGTTTATTTATGAGCTGTGAACTTTGGTTTAGGACTTCGAAGTCTCGATAAGGATTTTATACGTAGTTCGATGTGGTACAAGACGCGAGGAGCGTTTCGTGTATACACGAACTTATCCTTGTCATAATAACAATATCAGATGAAAAAGTTGCGGGAGACGAAGGTCATTAGGCCGTAGGCCGTCGTCAGTATTTCGATTGGTTCAGTTTTCACTTCGGCCTTTTTCTCGTTGGCATCAGTATTCACATCCCAATACTTCTTACCACCTGCACAATACAGACATTGCTTGGTATGTGTTCGGGAACTACTTTGGATCACCCATGGTTTATTTATGAGCTGTCAACTTTGGTTTAGGACTTTTGTTTCAAGAATTTTATACGTAGCTCGTTGTAATACAAGATGTGATAAGCGTTTCGTGAGTACACAAACCTATCCTTGTAAAAAAAAGAATAGGTGAAAAGGCGTCAAGACCAAAGAGAACATTGGCTTCCCGTTTAATTCTGAACGTCAATGAACGTTTATGCTATGCATTAATTGATAAGTCAAACAGGTCATTTCGGTTAAGTAAGGTCAGCCTCAATACTTGATATACGGTGACAACTGTCTCGACCATGAATTATGATTATTACCATCTACAGATAATATATACCGACGTAAATAGTAGACTTCTAGATGGAAAGAGTAAATATATAGTTAAGCTTGAAGACGTGAAGACTCGGCATATGTGTTGACAGTTAGGGGGCAAGGGGCCAAATG